GGAAGGCTCACGCTATCCCTGCCCTCCAAAATTTGGGCCTTCAGTTCTACCTAAAGTCTTACTGTGTGCTACATCGGGCCGCATTTCCTCTTTGATTTCAACCCTTCTGACCGTAAGTGCTCAAATCGTGCAACTAGCTGCAGTAAGAGAAGAGTTATTTGAGTGACTTAAAGCTATAAAACAGGATTTGTATTACAGACACTATTTCCATTGGAAGAAGAGCAGAAAATACTCAGAATCCGGTTCTGTAAAGAAGTGATACGGCCTTTGGTCAGTATAGCAGTGTATAGAATGTGTCATTCACCACAAGGCAAAAAAAGAGAAAGCCATAATAGACATTGAGTATTTCTCAGATGAAACTACACAGCAAGCAGCAACAAACTGTGAGCAACTAAATTATGATATCTGTTGCTATTTTAAAGGAGAGGTTGAGGAAGGTGTAGACGAATGAGTGAGAAAATTCCTTCCTGAGGTCAGAACCATCTGCACAGACCTAAGAGGTAGTTACAGATCAGGGAGCTAGGGAAAAAACTTTTTACACAAAACTTTTTTTGGGTAAATGTTTTGTGTGTGATCTGTGTATCATATATCACACATGGATTATCAATGGTGAGTGTTTTGTGCGTGGCTCTGCAAATGCTTTTGACAGCTAAAACCACACAGAGAATTCACTTGCACCTGTGGTACAAAAGAATATGGCATATATCATGTGGCAATAAATTCACCCTGCCAAGACTTGTCGAGTCATTAAGCTTTAAAGTAGGTGTTCAGCTTTCTCACAAGTACAAGAATTCTTCCATACTCAGCCTCGGTGATTCTTAAGTGCAATGCAGAAAGTGACTCAGTTAGAAATCAGAAGTTAAACTTCTCCAGTGAAAGTCTGCTTTTCTTAGTATTAAATGTTCCAGTTTTTATCTTAATTCACTTACAAACCATCCGCATAGCCAGGAAATAAAATTTAAACATGCATTGATTGATATATTTGGGGCATGGTTTTAAACTACTTTGAACAGTTAGTTATGTATCCTCTGCTTAGTGAATTAACAGGAATAATGTGCCAAATCACTTGAAAATTCTCACTACAGTATTTCATTCTGTAGTGCAAATGAAACAATAATTTCATTTCAGATACTGAACAGCTTCCACCTTGTGCTGGGAAGGAAAGTGCATCAGTGCAAAATCACACAAGGAAATAACAAGATAACAGTACTTCCTTCATGCATAAGTCATTGCTGGCTTATCTTAGCATGTGTAGTACAGTTGTCACACCTTGGTTTTGTAATTATGATATCTGGAAAATAAAAGGAGGCAACTGGCTTTGCAGTGTTACACAACAGGGTAAGAATTAAACATAAGAGATGAGCTTTAGGGCTTGTTTATGCTTCTGCTGATCTGAAGAGGAAATTTACATGCTTTCCACACCAGCCTTTCTTCAGCTGAAGAGATTTATCTTGCTATTTATAGATTCAGAATAGTTTGGGTTGGATGGGGAAAGGGTTCCTTTGGGAAAATCCAAGGGAAAAATAGGAAAGCTTGATATAAGCACTGAGAAGTGTTGTGGAACCCCAAGTTCCACTACAAGCTGGCATTATGGAGCTACTTTCACTGATATTTGGAAGCGGATCAGGTACGGTGTGGTAAGTTATGGGACAGCAGTATTCTCAACAGGCTAACACAGTTTTACCCCCAGTCACCAAGAAACTGTGAAGGTGACTCTGAATTCCAAGAAGAGACTGCCTTTCTGTCAGACACATTTGGGTAGAATTTTCATTTAGGTAAAATCTTTTCAGCAAACAATATCACTATATCCTTGGGAATGTGCTGGCAGCTAATAACACTGTTGACAGTGTGGATTATTCATGGCTAATATTCAGTAATACCTGAACTCTTCAAATCCACTCAGGAAATATCTGGTTTTGCCTCTTGTACTGTCTAGAGCTTTGATATGAAATGCCAGCCACAAACAATGTTCCTATTTAGTAGCTGTCTTTGGCATCTGGCAATTTGAAAGGCTGGATCAGCAATATTTTGAACAAATGTGGCTGTTACTAGTATGTGAAAATAGAAGGATGTTGCGTTTGTCCTAGTGCCAACTTTGAGAGACTAATTACTAAGTGTTATATATGAGCACCTGTCTTAAGCTTAGTCTAGCATATTTAATTGTGCACTGTATCACACCTGCTCAGTGAGAATATAACATTGTCCACTAAGTTACTCAGCAAAGGATATGAAAATAAGTAAACGGGATGTTTACTAAATGTGACATTTACTGAATCCAACTTTAATTTTTACAGCTTTTCTAGAACACAAGACAAAACCAAATGTCACAGCTGATAGGTTGGTTGAGGCTACATTTTGCAGTCCATTTAAAAATCAGCTCATAGATACTAGAGATACTTGATACTGCTGGCAATTTCCTGAGTTTCCCAGCATTTATTTGACTACCTTTTTGCTTGTTCTCCTCCTTTTCACTTGTTTGGCTACAGCCATAACATCTTATCCTTGAACAGGAGGAAGGCACCTCTGTTGTCGTACAGATGTATCAGAAGTACCACCTTGTTACCTGAAATGACATCTGACTCTCACCTGACTTCTATGAAAGCCAAAATCTGTATGCAAGGATGTCCAGACTGTGGTTCTTGCCCTATATACTGGATGTCCTATATCCTGGGCTTCTCTTATGAGACAGTACTTCTGAAGATAAAATAGTGTCCCTCTTCTGCTACTTACTAATACAGACCACTGGAGATTTCATGGCCTCCCTAGGAGCATATACGTTTAGTAACTTCCAGGTTTGTTATTCTAGCACTTCCCCCCAGAGCTGTTTCTTAAACTAATATTGGTATTTTCATGGACTAAATCCACACACATCAGAGAAAGGAACACCTGAAATGGCCCTATGCTATTGACTTACTACATTCCTTTGTTGTAATCAGAAATGTAGTGTCTTCCCACTGATAACAACAACCGGTATTTGTGCCATGTCTTAGTACAGTGCATCTTTGCTTTTACTGCTTTCAACTCCCCAGCAAAGCCATTCATATGGTGGGGAATGTGAAGTTCATTCATATGGTGAGGAACGTGAAGTTCAAGGGCAGCCTTGGCTGCAGTGACCATGGAATGGTGGAGTTTGAGATCCGTAGGATGCCAAGGAAGGTGCACAGCAAGGTTGCTACCCTGGACTTCAAGAGAGCAGACTTTGGTCTCATCAGGGGTCTGCTTGGTAGAGTACCATGGAATAAAGCCCTGGAGGGAAGAGGGGCCCAAGAAGGCTGGTTAATATTCAAGGATGACCTCCTCTAAGCTCAGGAGCAATGTATCCTGACAAAGAGGGAGTCAGACAAAAATGCCAGGAGGCCTGTGTGGATGAACAAGTAGCTCCTGGACAAATTCAAACATAAAAAGGAAGCCTAAAGTGTGCAGAAGAAAGGGCAGGTAGCATGGGAGGAGTATGAAGCAAATATGATGCTTATGCATGCCCCAGGAACAGGCAGTGGGATTTTTTCCACTTCCAGGGGAATTTGGTGTGTGTGGAAAGGTGCTGCATTGACAAGTCTCCTGTGTTACCCCCTGGCAGACAGTGTCACATCCAGACTATGTGCCCGAGAGCTTCTTTAGCAAGAGGTGGCAGCTGTCCACACAGCTGGAGAGAGGTGAGTTGAAGAAAGAGGCAGAGATTCCCTGATAACTCTAGAGTGAAGTACTGTCCACAGCTGGCCTGCTAGGACCAGGAGACAGCAAGGAGAGAAGAGAAGAGAAATCTGAAAAACAAAAGAGAGTTGTCTTGAAGAACGGTAGTTATTCTACAGAGAGGAAAATACTCAGTTGCAGGTTCGCCACAAGCCCTGCAGGACAGACCCCCAGGCAGTGTAGATGTTATGGAGCAAATCAAAGAAGCCATTAGGTGGCTCTGTGCTCTCAGCTTCTTACCAGATCCATACCGGTAGCCAACATCATGTTTTCAGATTAATTGCAGCTAGACATTTTCAGTTCCTTTAACCTGTTTCCTTCCGCAGCCTACAAGAAAACTTTCCAGACAGACATTGAAAAGTCAGCTCCTTTATATTTTAATGGACAAGGAAATTTTCCAATTACATCAGCTTTTTCCCATCCCTCCTGGGACCCGAGTTTGGCAACATTATAATATGAGAGAAAGGACTAATGATGTGTCTTTTTATCAGGCGTCAACAGTGTTGTGTTCTCAGGGAACCATAGAGACCCTAAGCATACATACCACTGATCTTAAGTGCTTCTTAGGAAACAATGTAAGAGGTCAAAACTAAATCTCCATTTCTCCATATTTTTTATCCATTGTCTCAAATCATTATCTAGATCCAGTGTTTCCTTAACAGAACAAAAGGTGTGCAACACCAGACTGGAAATGGGGTTGGTCAGTGTGCTCCTCTAGATTTCTCCTTGTTCTCAGAATGACTTATCTGGTGAAATTGCCTGATCACTGATATGGGGAACTAACCACAGCAGTCAAGCCATAAACCCTCCAAAGCAATCAAAACTTGTCTGAGCAGCAGATGGGGTGAAACAGTAGAGACAGAGGGATCCTAATGCACCTCATACATTTCCTCCTTGATAGGAAACACCTGTGAAATGCCTCAAAGGGATTAGGGTGCGTTCCTCTAAAAAGGGTGACATGGTCCATAGCCTGGCTTATGTGCCTGTGTACCAGTGCACACAGCATGGAAGAGCTGAAATCAGCCACTGTGCAGCTAGCAAGCTGCAATCTAGTCACTATCACTGAAATGTGGTGGAACAAACATCATGACCAGAGCACTGCATCCAATGGCTATAAAACGTTCAGAAGGGACTGGCAACGGCACTCTGTTGGTGTTTGGATAACATTATGTATTGTGTTTTGAGTGATGTTTGCACACTATGCTACCACTTGAACAGCTCTTTAGAAGTTGCCACATCCACACAATGCACATCATAATACTTGTGACTAAATCATAAAAGGAAAATATAACAGTACAAAGCCACCAAGGTTACAGCAATGCTTTTATTAAGACACCAAAACTCTGCTAAACAGACTCAGTCACAATAGCAGTTTCTGCTGAGCATAGAGGGTACCAAAGACAAGCTACAGTTTTGCATTTCATCCTGAAGACGAGGGCTCAGCTTTTGTAAATGGCATAGCTCCGCTGAATTCAATAGGCAAATCTCTAGTCCTGTCACTTTCAAACAGTTCAGGACTGTAAGTACTAAAAACTAGAAAAATATTTGTAGTAAAATAGCTTCTCCTTTCACTGTGTCCAGAAGGCAAACACATTATATATTTGAAAGCAAATTGAGCAAAAGTTAAGAGACACCTACATAATCAAAAGCTAGTGGTTATGTTCATCACACTCTGAGATTGCAAAGATAATTTGCAGTTTCATTAATAATTTGAAACCAAATGGAACTTTTTTTTATATCAGGATCTGATATCTGGCATTTCAGCAAAGAAATGACAGCTCAAAGTTTTCTGTTCCTTATAGATTCACTTGAATCAAAATCAGAATGCAAATTATTATTCTGAAATTTATTGATATATTTTAAAGGTATCTATATAACCAAAGATAAATCAGTACAACCTTTTGCAAAATGTAGAAGTCCTTTACCCAGTAATCTTAATAGCTAGCAGAAATTGGACTGGGGGGTGGAGGGGGTGACGTGTGAAAAAAGCAGCTTTCTAATGCTATTCTGTACCAAAATAGAAAAAAAACACACCAACAAAAAACAACAGTATCCAAAATATGAGATATAGCTACTAAGAGTATTTGTGAATTCAAGTTAATGACCAATTTCCACATGATGTATTTATAATGGTGTCCATTGAACTTATAGAGGAATTAGCTTGTTTAGTGTAAACCACTGGATTACATATGACCCAGACATAGCAGACTCTGTCACTGTGTAGGAGTGCATGTGGCAGTGAGAATCAAGGGGTGGTGGGGACAAGTTACCACACTGCTTTACTCTCCAGTCTTCTAACACACTCACTGAAGTGGAGGTTTGGAGCAGCCAAGGTTGGAGCTGGAAGGTTTAAGAGAGTGAAGAGCAATGCCCTAGGAAAGAGTCCTGCCAGAGATGCTTACTGTATTCCAGTTTATCCAGCTGAGCAGACTGTTGTTGTAACCAGTGGAGCATGTAAACTGAATCTGTGCTGCTGCTCTAACAGTAGGATCTTGCAGCTAGGCAAAATTCAGCTCAAATTTATAACTCCAATTCAGTTGCAATTGGAGTGCTCTCACTCAGGCGGGCACCATACTCTGTGGTTTGACTGCACAATGATTGTGGTGTAATTAAACAGAATATGTAGGTACCTATTGACATATCTGCAAAAATGGGGCTGCCAGTAACAAAAATAGTTTCTTTTTTCTATTTTTTTTTCACTGAGTCCTTGTTAATAAAGGAATTTACATTCAAATCTCAAAACTCATGCTGAAGAACACTCTTGAATAGGTTAAGCCTCAGATTCATGGTGCCTTTTCTTTATCTGGTGGCAAATCCAATAGTTGCTCTCCAGCTTCTGTATGCTTAAGGAATTGCACAATTAGGTCTTCAATGTTTGAAGCTGTATCTCGAAGTTTCAACCTCACCTTAAGTAAATAGTGAATTACAAACTGAAAAGGAAGTCTCTCTAAGGGTTTTTTGATTTACTTCCTGGAATATTTATAGAAACATGCAGCTTGTCAGTAGTAATGGCACAAGTGATGTCAAGATGAGCACATGGTAACATTGCACAGTGGGAGAGCCAAATATTGGAACTTGATTAGAGAACTAGTAAGTCTTTCTTTTTCCCTTCTATTTTATCCTTAACAAAACCTGCCAAAATTCACTTCAACCTGGAGCTGCAGGGACAAATAGTTCTCAGGACACCAGGGAAGAGCCAGATTAACAAATACATAAGTAAAAAAAAGGATGGATTGAAGCTTTTTATATACAACATTAGTTTAGAAGAGTCGGTGCTGTAAATAGTCATGACCACCATTGTGAAGCATGATGAAAGCCAAATGCTGAATGAAGACAAGCTTCAGTTCTTCATGTGATGAGACGTGATACAACTAGAAAAAATAAAAAGCAAACTGATAGTGACTGAGAAAGGTAATCAGCTACCTTCCAAGGTAAGTAAATACATGGGAAATAAAAGCTGAGTAGTTTCAGCATCTAAAAGGAGCCCTTAGCTGAGTCTTCAACGTAAGGTATAATGTTATGAGCTTTACGATATCCTTTGTGCTACAGCTTCATAGCACAACTATAGAATTTCCATTGCTGTCAAATATTGCAGTCACCCATGACCACTCATGAATGATTCAGAGTGATGAATGAAGACAAGCTATTCTTCTCTCAGCTGAGAGACTCAAAGGCTTCATATATAGGTTTTGACTTCAGGGACCTACGTGTCCTCTTTACACTGGATTATGGCTCTCTGGTGGGATCTTTATCACTGATGGAACTGTACAGCTGCTGGCTGTACAAAAAAACCTGGGTACCTTCCTTTTGGGCTCCTAACAGGAAGCCCTTCTCAGCCTTTGGGAAACAATCAGAGCATCACCCTCACCTATAGTGACTTCCTAGGAACTTCCCATAGATGACTACAGAGTACGGTCTTCATAATGTAAGACTGGTGGAAATAGAGCTAACCATGACAATGGAAGATTCTGGGAACTGATAGCTGGAATAAAGTCTCCCCTGACCTTTCTCTGTGATACATACTGAGTCATTGAACTTAGTGAACTAAATTCTCTGTAAATACCATCATGATGAGCCTAGATTTCCTGTGGTCATGGAAGCTGCATTATCTTGTATGAAGCCTCTATCAGGAAAGAGTTACTGACAAACTCTTGTAACTACATCAAATAAGCCTGTTCCCATCCTTGAGCTGTGAAGCAGTGTTAGGTGTTCTTTTTCAGCAGCCAGCTTTCTCACCTATCTATCTCTCCTCCTCTTAAAGGGGCAAACATACAAATGGTGATGAGTAGCTAGAACATACTCATTTTACAGAAAAAGTGCTGAATTCTGCAATGTTCTGGAAAAGTATTAGGTTCTTAAGTTGCAGAGGCAGAACATATGGTAGTGGTCAACACTCCTCAGAGCTGTCTTTCCAGACCCTCTGCAGGCCCTTGTAAGTACTGCTGATCCATTAATAATATTTCAAGCTCTTTATGTCTAAAATCCCACTATTTTCTTGCAAAACACACCCTAAAAAAAAACAAAAACAAACAAAAACACCAAAACAAACAAACAAAAAAACAAAAAAAAAATCAGAAAAACCCAAGCTTTTGCACAAAGGGATAACTTCCAAAGCAGATTTATAAAGAGAGTGGTAAAATTTCTCTTGTTATACCACTTCATGATCCAAAACCAAAAGGGATACACTTTTTGTGGAACGGGTCATTGGTGTACTTCTAAAGTGGTGTGCCATGTGCTCCGAGACTGAAGCCATGAAGGAAGATGAAGAGAAAGCTGTCTTCCTCCTTTGTAGTCTGTAGCATTTGAAAACAGCAAGAACAGTAGAAATTTCATTCTTACTTCTATGACCTCCATCCACAGCAAACAGGACAAGAGGTTCAAATACCCGTAAACAGAGGATGCTCATCTGCAAGTATTTAACCATTTCAGGAAGAGATAAACAGCTAAAAAAATAAAAGTAACAGATCATAATTCAGTACTTACATCTGGTAATCTGGAAATCACTAATCGTAGAACACTTGGTAGCTGAAGTTGTCAGACTTGATTCTGAAGTTGTATCTTCCCGTCTTTCTCTGGTATGTGAAGATGAGAAGGCTCACAATTCCCAGCACAACGCCAAACACAGCAAAGGCAATGAGGATGATGTATCCAACTCCCATGGCAGCCTCCTTCTGTCTCTTCAAATCAGATCCTGAAAAAAAAACCCAAGATTTGAAAGAAAAAGGTTTTAAATTCCCAAATCTTTTCCTAAGTAAGAAAAAAGCCTTGCCCACAAATTAGCCAAAATGCACATTGGAGCACAGAGCTGTCGATACTGAAGTAAATCAGCCTTTTGGGGTGGGTGATTCTTATGGAAAAGTATGTGAGCCACAGTCCAAGTTCTCTTTTTACATACAAGTGCAGAGTCCTTGCACACCTGAGAGTGATGTGTCTTTCAAATTTAACTCTGTAATTTTCTATTAAAATAAGAATTAAAGTGATGACTTCAAAATGCTGCCTTATTTTCAGAATAAAATACTCATCTGCCTAGAGGTGAAGCATTCTCCTATCTTAATCCTGCTCCCATTCATCTATGGTTATTAAAACCCACTTAATTTGCTTTATGCTCATCTGCAACATTTTTTTAAACACGAAAGTATTTAGGGGAGGATTTTTTATGTGTGATGGACCTCTAAGATCCCATTCTGGTCAGTGGAGCAGGCATGTGGCCAAGCTGTATAGGCAGAGCAATTAAAGATTTTTTCATGTTTCACTGCCAGCAGTTTACCTGACATCATAATTCATGTTGTCTCCTTCCACACAGAGATGCATGATCTAGCCTCACATTTAAAATGTGATGTGAGCATCCAAATTGGAAGTAGGAGACAACATCTAGTAGTGCCACCTTTGCCTATGAATCAGTGTAGTACAACACAAATAAAGCTCCGCTCACCAGAGTTCCTTTTATATAATGACCCTTTATCAATACTGGAAATGCACTGGGATCTCCAGTGAAAATGGGAGTGAGATCTACACACTGTAAGTGCTGTACAAAGAAAGCTGTAATTGCTGAGTTTAAAAAAAAAAAGAACTAATTCAGAAAGGAATGCTGAACACCTATTCTAACAGATTAATACTTGCCTATAATGGAAGAAAAATACAATATGCTACACCAGAGAGAGTTTCTATGTCCAAAAGAACATTGTGACTGTCACAGCAGAGAAGAAAAAAATACCCTGAACCAACTAACAGTCCAGCATTAACTTACCTCCACAGTCAAAATAGCCTTAAGTGACTGGCAAAACAGGCAACCAGCAGAAGGAAAGGGGGTGACTTCTATCTATTCCCAGTAGTTATGTGTTAGAACCCTGGTACTGATGTGTACAAATACTCTCAATGAGTGTTTTATGCGAATAAGATGTGAATGTAAATGACTGGAGGAGGCCAAATGCCTGAAAATGTTAGAGGCCACAAGTGCCCTTGAAAACATAGGTGGAGTTAACGCAGAAGAGGCAGATGAGTAACAAGTTAGACCTTGCTTGTACACACTGCTAGTGTTCATTCTTTGTTAACCTGTATTGTACCACTCCACCAGATTGATCAAGGTGGTGTTCATCAGCTGTGCTCTGCCACTTTCTCTCCTGGTAGCAATGAAGTCAATGCCAGAGAATCCAAGGAAACACAATACCATCTCTTTATCTCCTCTTATTTTGGACTTCAGAGCTCAGCATTATTGCTGTCTAACAAGAACGTGAACACTTGGAAGACTGGTTGCAATCTAAAAGATTACAGCTGCTTTCACACTTTGCAATTTTAATAACAGTTTGATTTTGTGCCTTTTGTACTTGCTACCCTGTGCAAATAGCTACATGAAGCACTTCATCCTTTTCTTTTCTACATTCCATTGACAATCTGAGAGGCACTTCACCGTGGAGGGCACATGCTTTTCCACACTGCCACATGGCTTCAGTAAGAATGCTGCTCCTCAGAAGAACATGCAGGGGGGCATGGAAACCTTATATCACAGGTCTTCACGTTCTTTTGCCAGTCAAAAAGAATCTTGAAGTGACAGTTACTTCATGTTCCCTCAGGCATCTATTCATGACTCACCAGCTGATTTACATAGGGGTCCCCAAGATGTTCTGTGCGTAGCGATGGTTTCACCAGTCTTCATGAGTCGAACTGCACGGCATCTCTGAAACAATCAATTCAAACTTTAACAAGTAATATGGTTTACTAATTAAAAATAAAAAGCCTTTGAATGAGTATGTGAAAGCCCAGTGCAATTCTCACTCGCTGGGGTTTTTATTTCTTAAAGTTATGCTTTGTTAAACTGAAATGAGCACCAAATGGAAGTTCAAAAGAAATAGCAATAAGGAAACATCAGTATAAAATCTGTGATTAGTCACACTGGAAGACACTGCTGTGAGCAGGCACTTCACACAGACAGTCTCTTTCTTTTCAATTAACTTCCTACTTAGTTTAGAGAAACCTTACAGAAGAATAAACTTCTCACTATTTCTGTACACCAGGACTTTGCACATATTTTTGTTTGGATGTTTCTACTGTCCATGGCAGGCACAACAGATACTACAGATACTACAACCAGCAGCGGCAAAAGCAGCGGCAACTTTCAGCCCTTACCAAGCTGTGTGTCATAGAATCAAGAATGGTTTGGGTTGGAAGGGACCTGAAGATCGTCCAGTTCCACCCCCAACTGCCATGGGCAGGAACACCTCCCACTAGACCAGGTTGCTCAGAGCCCCATAAAAACTGGCCTTGAACACTCACAGGGTTGCGGCAGCCACAACTTCCTTGGGCAGCCTCTACCAGTTTCTCATCACTCTCACAGTAAAACATTTCTTCCTTATATCCAACCTGTCATTTGAAGTAATGCACAGCTCTTCAGTGACACGTAAACTACTAATCTGGGAACTACTAGCTTGAAAGCCCTGCCCTGTGAAATGTTGGGGATGAGGTGCTTTAGCTTTGTGTGAGCAGCACCTGTAGAATGCACAGCACGCACATCTTCTGCACATTTCCTCAGTAGCACCATTTAGTTTGTTTGCTGCCTATAGGTTTCTGAGGGGAAGCGTAACCCTTTGAGGTTATTCGGAAGATCCTGTGGCTCTCCTGGTAGTGCACATAAAAACAGAGAAAGTGCGGTACCATACTAAAATCAGCAAAAGGAACCAGGGATATGCAGGCCTGTCTTAACCAGCTTGTCTATACAAAAATATCTTACCAGCACTACCAGCCTGGTTACACTGAAAAACCTCTACTGTCAGCATCAGCCCCCAGAAAAACACCCGTGTAGCTATGACTTTCGCCTACCCTTGAATAGCTTTCCCAGCTAGGCAGATTTAGAGAAAACAATTACATAGCTACTTGACATCAATGATTTCTTGGTTCCATGTGGCCGTGGAGCAGCCACATTCCACCAAACATATGAATGAAAGTGGAACATCACTCTCCTTCCCATTCAAAGTCATGTTTCTTACTCATTTCTTACTACATTGCTCCCTGGTCTGTCTGTGGTTTTTCTACTCTGAACTACAGAGTACCTTCCTCTCTCTTGCCGTAAAACAAGGAATAAAAAGACTGGGAAAGAAGAAATAATATACAAGATCTAAGTCTCAATTTTGTAGGCAAAGGGCTGATGCAAATCTGCCCTTAAGCAAGTCAGTATTTTCCAGGTTAACAGAAGGATCAGAGGATCACATCCTAGACCCTGGGCACTTTACCAGCCATCTCACATTATTTCCAAATACATTTTGCTCTTGCTTCCATTTTCCTTGGCCTTTTCACCTTTTGCAGCTCTCCCTCTCTTCTTTGTAAAAGCCATTGTCATCCTGTGTGCATGTGCGTAGTACCTGTCTTCTCTGCATAACTTCAATCTCAATCTCGGATACTGAATTCACTAACTTTTCATGGGGGTAAATTTTGCATAGGAGAAAAAATTGTATCTCTCATATATATATATATATGAAAGAGGAGGGCCTCACTGACTAACTGTGCTGTGCCTTGTTTACTGGGGATGTCAATGTGAATCAAACCTCATCTGGGGCTAGCAGAATTACCCCATCACAGAAGCCTGTAATTCAGATCAGTCAGTTCTTTAGTTAACCATGTTCTAAAACTCTAATCCGTACAGCTAAAGCCAAACTCAGAGACTCCTAGCAAAGCAACTGGTTCCTTACAGCAACCATACCAGCCCATATAGTCCCTGTCGTGTCCATCCCTCTTATGTCCCTGATTTGCACTCACCACCGTGTCCCTTCTCAGCTGTGCAGAACACACAGTGAACTTGGGGAGGGCACCACTGCAGTGAACTTGGGGAGGGCACCACTTCCTCCAAAGGTGGCTGCTGAAGCACCGATCTTCACTGTGCAAGTTCAGCTGTGAAATTGGAGCCATCTTTCAATCTGTCAGTTGTGTTTCCTGTCACTAGTTTGCTGGGGAGGTTTAACATGGAGGAAGCTTTTTACTTTGGAAAGGAAACTGTTATCTTCTGCTAGTCATTTTTAATCTTTTAGGAAGAGATCATTTGCTTTGTAATGGTCTTAAACTGAGTTATTTAGATCTAGAGGAAAGTGTTAAACAATGGAAGAACTCCAAACTGCTAATGAAAACATCCTTTACAGGAAAAAAGCCAGGAAGGCTGGCAGAGGGAGAGAATTCCTGCATGTCTGCTATAAAGAAAAAAAAAAAGCCATCATCAAAATCTATTTTTTTAAATTTTTCTATGGTAGCAGCACATTTTTAGATGAAGCAATGTGTATCACTTATATAGAAGTAAAAAGAAACAAAGCAATGCTTTGGAGCATAGATATTTAGAAACAAGTTGTCATCAGAACACTGCTTGGTTTATTGCTTCAAAAAGCAATAGGCCTTTAAAAAGCCACAATAAACTATTGGAGTCACAGCCCTAGAAACTTAATGCCACCATGTTTCCTTTCCTGGCACCTAAACTCTCACCTGGAGAAGCAAACCCCTAAGGAAAAGAAAAAAAGGACAGAAAAAACATCCCAAATAAATGTACTCAGACTTGCCTGCTGACACTGCTAATATGGGTGCTTGTTTTATTGTGACATGTCTGTCTGAGCTGAGACATTTCTGAATAGCCTATCTCATTACAACTCCTCTTCACTGCCTTCTAGCCACCCATGTGCAGAGGTAAAATGTTCAGTTCTCAGGTCCCCCCAACTTCAGTTTGCCCATTTCTGTGCAAGCTCCATGCTTTTAACTACAAGGATGAGGAAGAGGCAGAAAGGCGGACACTTCCATATGGTTGTAGTTCTTTCCCACCCGTATCTACTCTCAGCAGAAAATGAAGGAAAACTTCAAGAGCTATTTTAAACCGTGTTTGAAAACATTACACCTTCAATTCCATAGCAGGACTGCATATGGCATGTTAGAGAAAAATAGCATATTGGAGCAAAACACTTACTGTCCTGCAGGTGCTTCCTGGTCTCTCCATACAAATACGAATTTTGCAGTGTAAGTAAACCACAGAATTGTTGACAAAGGAAAAGATTTTCATCTTAAACTGTGCTTTGCTTGAATTCCCATTCTCTAGCAGTGTGGTGTATGTATTTGGGATGGGACAGCTGAAAAGGAAGAGAAAAACATACATAGCAGCTAGGGCTATAGAAAGCATGTTCTGGTTATAGCACATAACTTAGGTTGCAAGGCTCCTTTACAAAGTCACAGCCAGGCCCTCTGTGAAGCAGCTCTCCAGCAGTGTAGGGGCTATTTGCAGCTTTATTCTGACAGTAACCAAACAGAACAGAAGATTTGAGAAATGGTTGGAGAGTTGGAAAAGAAGAGAAAGAGTGACAGAAGGATTTAAACCTGGCTTCACCAAACAAAAACTGAAGGAACATAAAAAAAAAGAATAGCTTCTGTTACTGTGCAAAAGGACTATCCTGGATTTTAAAGTGGCAGGTGAGCACAGGGAATATGACATTGGAGTGAGATCAGGGATTCAGACAGGATAAACCTCCCCTTTTACCAGAGGCTGCGTTAATATTATGTGTGAGTCACAACACATAGGAATCAACTAACCTATGTCTTGATTACCAAGAGGCACCTAAGTCCTTGGTAAGATGAACCACAGATGAAGTACACACTTTTCAAATGCTCTTTCACTACCATAGGAAAGTAGTGGCCAAAGCCACCTATTTGTTCAGGTCAGAAGTACAGCTCCTTTAGAAAACTATGGGGAAGACAAACTCAAAGAACCATCATATTTCCCTTTGAAAACATTTTCCTTTCATACCTACCTTTCTTGTTCAAAGAAGGTATGACCAGTCCAAATGGTAAGGGACTGTGTACAAGAATGATGAAAACACACATAAAAGGCATTTAAAACATAACACATTACTACTCAGCACCATTGGAAGATCTAAGGTATGACATGTTATTTGTGAGTGGCATTGCTGTACCTGTTGCTGATAAAAACAAATGAGAGGGGATCCACTGAATTATTAGTTGGAGTTGCCCAGCAATCAGTTAGGACCACCTTGAGCTTGCTGTCTGCTCTCTGGATTCCCACTTCAATCAGCACATCATCACTGGCAGAGATGCTGAAATTTTTTGGTATTGGGGAGTTTCCAATAAACAACTGCATTTCTGTTCTGAAGTGTCCAGATCCATGCAGATCCTCAAAGATGGTGTAAAGTCTGAAACACCAATAAACCTCCTTTAAAGACCACAGATTTGACTGCTTGTTTCTATAAGTCATAAATCAGTGCCCATTTCTCCACTCCTTCCCCATTTAAGTAGTAAGGAGTGATCTGCAGTCCAGGATGTTAGGACACTGTTCAATAGGAAAGGATGAAAACGCACCAAGTTTTTAATTGGAAATGCAGGGAGTATGGGAACACAAGCGTGAAAACCCAAAGGGTGGAATGTCTTGGCAACACAAATAAAGCAGAGAGAGATAGGTAAGTGAGGCAAAAGGGAAACAAGACTATGAACTCTCTTCAAGTTCAAAACAAGGAGAGAAAAAGCTTAGTGCAGAAGAGAAAAAAAACAGAAGGGGCAAATCTGAACAGTAAGGGAGGGACATGAGAGAACGATAAAGCTCAGAGAGAAGGGCCCTCGCAAAGACTTTGTGGGGGGCTAGAAAGGAAAATACAGTATTTGGACAGGGTTATAAAGCAGAAGGTGGATTTGGTAATGACAGCATAAGCATGGTGCTAGGCGAGAGGAGGTGCACTTGCATGAAGTGAGACCATTCATCACCAGAGCAAAGCTTGTGCTGCCACCTCTTCTGTGAGAATGTGCTTGACTTTCTGTGAACAGTGCATTTGATTCCGTCTTACCTGAAGATGGGGCCTTCCATAAAAAAGTACTTGCATTACAAGCTGATCAAATATGTATTTGTAGGAGTTAAAAATTGTAATCCTCAGAACCCACATAGCAGTCTGCATGCCTACATTGGTTGAAAAATCACTGTTCTGTTCTAAAAGCAGGAACACACTGTTAGTGCTACACGTGATTGCCCAGGAACGCAAAGAGAGGTTGGGAATTCTGACTCCTGAACCTGCACCAGTAGCTCCCAAAGGCATATTTTTATCTGTGGTTTAGCCAGACAACAGCCAAGCTTTTTGGCAGTTGGATTTATTGACACATTACAAGGAGTAAGAGAGAAGCAGATAGAAGGGATCGCCTGAGCACAGGACTCACAGGATGGCCAACTACTTAGCATAGCAAGCAGTCACTGGATACAGCTAAGGTCCCTGGAGATTTTTCCATTGTAGTAGCTCTTAGCCACACAGCAGCATTTCAAAGCAGGCCAAGTTGTTACTTACCCTTCTGCAGTGTATCCAGAGGAAGTCAAGAGATCATTTTGAAACACACAGAGAATGGGGCTAGCAACTTTTAAGTGGTGGATTACTCCCTGAGCAGAACCATCATTCCGAAGGATGGTTTTCACTACTGTATTAGTCATGTTCTGCAATGCAGAAAGAAGAAAGCGCAACCTGTGAACATCAGTGTTTCCAGGGATATAGCAGAGCTACACGCTTACCAGCTTCAGGTGCTTAGGCACTATCCATTCTCCTAGCTGCAAAAATTAAACAGATTAAACCTCTGTATTTTAGTTGCTGTACAGTGAGACAATGAAAATCCACCGACCTTACTCCTCTTTCTCAGTCTGCAATGATTATTGCTCCACGAGGGACTTTCTCTACTTTGGTGTGGCCTGAGCACAGCCTTTCATTTGGGATCCAAAGAAATAACCATCACTTTTTGTCCCCACTACTGGTGGCAATTGGAGCATTCATGTACATGCAATAGTGAAATTAACTTTTAAGAAAAGAGAAGCTTCCGACAGCTACAAAGGGAACCCTGAAAGGCATGGGAAGTTACTCTCAGTTTGGAGATGCCCTTGAGTTTTGCTGCCTGGTCTCTTTCTTACCCCTTCTTTTACTTGCTTCCCCCCAGTCCCAAAGAGGTAATTTTCCATCATGGGAAAAAGGTTTCTTTCTCCAAAGAAATTTCTTAGTCCAACATTTCAGCAGTCAATAGACTGTAGCACCCAGCTAAAGATCTGCCATTGCCCCTCCCATACCTTCCCTCCCACTGACAAAAAAAACTCTGGGGCTTCTCCACATTCACCAGCTCAGGGGACTTACAGTCTCAACTTCAGTGCCACAGTCACGCCAGCCTGCCTGCAGCACAATGTGAGTGCCATTGCTGAGGCTCACGTTGCAGCGAGGCTCCCCCAGGTACAGGGAGGTTTCAGGAATAGACTCCTGCTGTAAAAATCTCTTCTGGATGGCAAGGACAATCTTCTCGATTCCACAAAACACTTCCACTGCATCTTTAATGGAAACCTCCTGGGCAGGTTTAACGAGGGAAACAGGAGATGCTTGAGGAGAAACACCAGGAGTTGACACAGGATCCATGGTGAGAAGAGGCAGCACCACACTGGAGAATGTGGTGTCCTCCAGACCTTTGTGCTCAGTAGTAAGGTCCACTGAAGTAGAGGAAGGAGCATGAGTTGAAGTTTGCAAAGATGTCGCAGGTAAAACTGTGCTGCGTACAGGTTTCTCATCCATCGCTGTTGCCTTCAGGCTGATAGGAAATGCTGAAGAATGCCAAAAATAAAGGTTCTGTTGTAATTTACAGCTTCAGATTGATTTCATAAGGTAAAAGCAAACTCTTAGGAGGAAACTCAATTACTGCCAGAAAACTAGCTTCTTTTGGTTTTTTAACCCTCTCAACTTACTGCCAAAGCTGTGACTTTTGTTTTAAGAGAGTGCCCAAGAGATACATAAAGTGTCTGTGAGTAAAGCTAAAGTGCTTTATTTGCTGAGAGCTGCGGTAATTAGCACGTTCAGGTAAAACACGTATACACAGCTTTTGGAAGATCAGTGCTTGAAGAGATCCCCAACTGTAAGCTGTTCAGGAAATGTTCATATGTTTTTGCCTAGTACTGTAGGAGACTGCACACTTCTGGATGTGGGGCACAAAAGGGAGCAGTTTGTTAAAACACCTGGCCCCTTTTGTGATCAGTTGCTGTCCAAAGATATGACCCTGAGAGCTTTGGAAAACCCATTTTGGGGGAAATGCAGGACAAACTTTCTGCAGCAGGCCCACACTGCACATACGTGTCCTGAGAGACACAGTGGAAAGCTGAAAAAACATGTCAGCAGCAATCTTTCATGGCTTCAGGAAAAAAGCAAGCAGAGTAAATGGGAAGCACAGATTGAGATCAATGAGTATGTCAAACATCTGACGTTCAGCACAGGCCCTGAGGTTACCCTGTGGCTCTTTGGTGGTAGAAATAACCTAAGTATTCATCCACTGCTGACTTAGAAAGCACCGAGATAATAAACTCAATTTGCAGTGAAACATAAAGGATGTGTCTCATGGCACAAAATTTTCTCTTAAATAATTTTGATGGGCTATACATACAAATATCACCTATTTCCCAAGCAACATATAAAATCTGTACATCTATAGATACCCTTCTGCAACTCCCCCACTTTTGGAAACACCCCAAATTGAAAAGGTGCTGGTTTGAGTGTATGAGAAAGAAAAATAAGTACGAGCTCTGCTGTCCCCTCTGCTCCTGCTAATGGAAATAACTAGCAATTTTGACAATCATATCTAATTTTAATAGTAAATTTGAGAAAACAGAACTGTTAAAAGAACCTTACAAAGGCAACATTAAATATGAATATAGTAAACTCTCATGACAGGGTATTTCACTGAGAAATACTTAGAAGTCCCCTGCAAGACTTTTCCTGTTAGGATCCATCTGAAAACAGCAAACCAAATTAATCCCTGGCAAAATTTCAAGACCTGTGGCAAGTATGACCATGACCCAGGAAGGACCAGATTGCTCAGGGTTCAGTTAGCCATTAGATAATTAGATAGTTTTTTGCCTTCACAGATTCTTCCAGGCTTTTCTGGGTGCACATCAGCAAATCCTTCATTGCAGCTGCACTGGTAGAACCCAAGTGTGTTATGGCACGAGGCATCTGGGGAGCAGTCATCTTCTTCACTCTCGCACTCATCATAATCTGTTGGGTGTATTTAAGCAAAAGGCAAAGGTGAAGAGTGTATAAATGAAAATGTGATGGCTCTGAAACTGAAACCAAGTCCTATCATGATATCATGGCGGGATTACACTTGTGATACTCTGCTGTACTTGTCAGGCAGCTGCTGGGTTTAGAAAAGGTGGGATACTAGAAGCACAGCCTAAAAGACTAATTTCAGGGCACCGAAAAAACCCTCCAGGGGCTGCGCTACCAGTGGTGCCCATCAGATACTCACTGAAATGCAGGTACCCTGTTGCAGAGCTCCTATCCTCCTAAACTGATCAACAGCCCAAGGGAGTGCTTCTAAACCCAAGGGCTTCCTCAGCTGCCTTCCCCATTTCAAACTCTGGAGGAGATGGAAAGTAAATGATCAGCATGAGTGAAGGAAGAGGGTTGTGTGACTGGTCCAAGTTGCAGTCTAGTTGCTTTCTTAATTTTTATCTGGCTAAAATTTTCGCTTTTGAAAGGAAGAAAATGTATTTTACCTCCGTTTCTCTTAAAATTTTTATAGGCACAACTTAATTGTAACTGTGCAAATAAAGACACACCACCATAGGTGGGACTCGAAGAGCCTGCTGTGTGAGGACCTGTCCCTGAAAAAAAACATTTCTTTCAGCAAAGGTTTGAGGGGTACAGGCCCTCTACAAAGCACTGCCACAAGATAGTCGTGATCTTCATAATTCACAGGACGTGCAACTTTCCAGATTCACAGCTGTGAGGGTAACAGGCAAAGAGAATGTACAGGGCAGACCATGTACATGTTTCTGAAGTCATTGTGTGTGAAATTCTAGTCAGTACCTTACAACAACACCCTTTGGACAAATGTATATAGACACAGAATTTGATATGCTTTTTTAGAGATGACACACCGACTCGTGAAACGGGATTCAACAGCAGTTAGTCAGGAGAACAAAGTTTCTGGTTACTGACATAAAGGAAAAGAAGCTGGACAATCAGCCATTATGCTGGTTTTGGTAAAGTGTGGACTTTCACCTGAAGTCCTGACCCACCCATGAGTGAGGAAAACACATACCCTCACTGCAGAAGAATTCACGTTTGTGTATTTGTTTCTTGGGGTTTTATCTCACACAAAATTACTAATGCAAAGCAGAGAGTAATGTGTTTCTTAATTATTTTAAACAGAGATAGTTATGTCTGTGTTTCTTATGTCTGTGTTACCTATTTCTTCTGGTAGTTTATAAACCCCTCACTCTGTCACCACTGTTTCTAACGTCTCCATATCCTCTTCTGTATAAAATTAATGCTAGCTATAGACAAAAAAGAGCAGTTGGCTTTGTCCTTTTGGATCAGAAGTAACTAAATTCTCATTTCATCTTTTGACATTCTCTGGAAAAAAGCTTATTGGATGGATAAGCAGGAGAAATATAAGGAGAGAGAATGGCTTTTCATCCATTTTACAGATACTTTCACCTCAAAAATACAGATTAATAACAGGCTTTAGCATGTTTCTAGCTCTGAAGTACTATTTGGATACAAGCTGCCCCTTACCGTTTATGGAGAGGCTGCTCTTGTCAACTGTGAAATAGGAGTTGTGTTCAAAGGCATCATGAAAAGTGGTGATGATGTAGTAGATATCCACATCTTCTGCAATCAGTAAATTGAAACTTACCACTGTGCTCCCATTAGTAATACCCGTTATCAACACTTTAATCAGACCAGCATCCATCTGCTGAAGAACTTCAGGGGGCAGAGATTTATGTACCTGCAAGAAAAGAAAATGCGGGTGGAGATGGACAGATAGAAGCAATTACATTTTAGGCTTTGTACAGAGCCTAGGAGAGAGCACTATGCATCACAGTTTTGCTTCGTACTCTAGAGGGAAGCAGACCTTTTGTTTTATAATGTTTCCACTCCACAGCAGCTGAAGGGTATGGTATATATTTAACTATGAATATGAAATAAGCTAAGTGATTAAGATACCTTGTCTGTAATTTGGCACAGTTCCTTGTCTCTGGTAACAGAAAGGGAGAGAGGAGACTGCAGGGAAGCTCCCATGTTCTGCCTCTCAAAATACCTTCAGGGAGAGAGGGCAACCCAATACAAGGAGTTGCTGCTGATGCAAGGGGAGATACCTCCTGAGGCTCCACACTGTTTATGTGTCTCAGAGGGTTCCTTCAGCTCAGGTATGTTACAGCTTAGAGCAGACCAACCTCAAGCCTTTCTTCACAGGTGATTTCTCACCAGAGCCAAGTCTTCAACCTGATTTCAGAAATATTTCATTAAGGTCTTCCCTAAGGAGTATCACATCACTTCTGCAAATTCTGTCTGTTGTCAGGGCACACAGCCCTGACTCACTGTCCTCCCTGAGAGCCCAAGAACCAGGCTAGGAAATGGCTCTGCACTATCCTGAATAGCAACAGTCACCCTCAAAGTATTGCAGCACCAAATCACAGCTGAACTTAGGTCAATCTAGAGAAATTGATAAAATAAACATTCACAGTCAGTACACAGTAACCTTGGACATCACTACTTAGCTAAGAAAGAAAATGCCACCCTTTTCAAATCACACTTAGTCTTAGTCATGATAGCTCCCTTACCACAGGGGAAAACAGGATAGTCCCTGCTTTCTGCGGGATGGGAAAACACAGCCCATCGTGAGACTTTGCATTAGTTGGGTTGCTCAGCCTCTCCACCACCCAGCTCAGATGGAGGCACCAACCCACCTTGAAGAGATAAAAAGACTGGAGCCGTGTGTTCAACCTCTTCCCTTTCCGCCCTCCAAGGCTGCGTACCTTTGGAGGGCAGCCACCCGTGGGAAGAGCTGTTCCTTGTCCCACAGCAGAGCAGTCTATAGGATAGGGCACCTGGACTTATGCAGGAGCCCTGGGGGGATGTACAACAGCATTTGCTTTTCCAGCACCATTCCTTTCATCTCCAGGCCCAGCACCAGCCACAGGAGGAGCAGACACAGGTCAGATGGCAACACCTCATAAGATCAACCCCAGACAAAACACAAGGCTAACATTAATTCAGCTTTAGAGGACATGGATTTTCAATAACGAGTTTCTTTTGCATGGCTCTGCAAATGCCTTTGGCAACTAAACCCACACATAGAGAATTTACATACATCTGTGGTACAAAAGGATATGGCATATATTATGTGGTAATGAATGCACCCTGCCAAGACATGCTGAGTCATTAAGGTTTAAAATCTGCCAGAAAATAAAATACTTTAAATAGTTTGTATTAGAAATATCAAACATTCACAACAGAAAAAGCCAATTTTTCGTTTACCTGTAGAGTGTGGTTACCTGTGAGATTCTTAGCATCTGTATCTAGCACCAACTCAGCAATGCAGGGATATGTATGTAAGTTTTCATCTTTCATAGCTTTTGTTTGAACTTCTGGACATTAAATACACAGATCTGTGACATCTTCTTAGCCCATCCCTGGATTCACCTGTACTCCCTTCTCATCTGTCCTGAAGATTTTATTTTATTGGTGCTTCTTTTTACTTAAGGCTTGGGAGATTGGGTTTGTTGTTTGTTTGGGGTTTTTTTTTGTCCTTTTTGTTTGTTTGGTTGGTTGGTTTCTGTCCTTATTCACATTATTTCTCACAAAGCAAGGTCTCAGGGCATGAAGTGTCAGTGGACAGTGACGGTATTTGCATTTAGCCACTAGGTGGCACTACAAACCCCTTTATCCGGCAGGCTACATGGTTTCACAGGTACCACACCCTCGGTTATTAAAATAATGGTCGATGAAGTGGGGCTAGAAAAAAAGGAAACTTCCTAGAAGGAAATATTCGATGTATAACACCCTTGAGTATAAGGTTTTCTTACTAACATTTTGGGATCCATTATTTATTCTCCAACTGCTGTAGCACACAAAAGAAACACAAGTAATGCCAGAGCAGGAGAAATCATTATGCCAGAAGTGCAACAAGAAAGGGAGAGAACATGGACAAAATTAACACCAGCGCTAATGGAAGGGAATGTCCATTACCCCTGTCTTTTCCATGCGACTCCTTATAAAAGGGGAGTCTCCATCTTCTTTGTAGTCACCCTTTCAGTACTGGAACATGGTGATGAGGTCTCCCCTGAGCCTTCTTTTCTCAAGGGTCAGCAGACCCACTTCTCTCAGCCTTTCCTCATGCGACAGGTTTCCCAGACCTCTGATCATCTTTGTGGCCCTTCTCTGGACCCTCTCCAGCCTGTCCACATCTTTTTTTTACAGCAGGGACTGAAACTGAACACAGAACTCCAGGTGTGACCTGACAAGTTCTGAGTAGAATGGAATAATGGCATCTTTATCTCTACTGATGATGCCCTTGTTGATTTGACCCAGCCTCCTGTTGGCTTTTTTTTTTGCTGCAGCTGCACACCGTTCACTCACATTGAGCTTCCTGTTCACCAGGACCCCCAGGTCCTAGAGATGCTCCCCATCTGGGTAGATCCCAGCCTGTGCTGCAGTCTTATATTATGTTTTTACAGGTGCAAGACCTTACATTTGTCTTTGTTGCACTTCATAAGGTTCTTGATAGCCCACTTCCGGCCTATCCAGGTCATCCAACAGGGTGGCTCTCTCTTCCAAAGTGTCCACTTCCCCATTCAGTTTGGTATAATCTGCAGACTTGGTCAGGGTACACCTGATCCCATCTTCCAGATCACTTACGAAGATACTAAACAGTGCTGAGCCCAATAATGACCCCTAGGGGACCCCACTAGTGACAGGTTGCCAGTTTGAAAAGGAACTATTCACCACCACCCTCTGCGTGCAGCCTGTCAGCCATTTCCCCACCCACCATATAGACAGTAACATGTCAGTTTCTTTAGGAGGAGGGTGTGGGAAACGGCATCAAAAGCCTTGAAGAAATCCAGGCAGACAATGTCCACTGCTTGTCCCACATCAACCGCTCAGGTTACTTTTGTTGCAGAAGGTAACCGGTTTTGTCAAGCACAGTTTGCCCCTGGCAAATCCGTACTGGCTTCTCCCAGTCATCTACTTTATGTGACTTGTGATAGCCCCCAGGAGGATCCAGGCCATAACCTTCCATATCATTTATCAGTAAATCTGATGAGCCAATAATTTCCTGGATCCTCCTTTAGGCCCTTCTTGTAGACAGGGCAATGTTAGCTGTCTGCCCGGACATCCTCTGATCTCCATGACTTCTCAAAGATTATGGAGAGCAGTCTCACAATGACATCAGCCGGACACCCTTGAGTGGATATTGTCAGGGCCCATTGATTTGTAGGGGTCAAGCTCCTGTAACAGTTCACATACCAAGTCTTCCTTCACCAATAGTGGGTCTGCATTTGCATCAACCTGGGTCTTTGTTCCCAAGACCTGGGTCCCAACACTGCTGGTAAAGACAGAGGTACAGAAAGTGTTGAGAACCTCCACCTTTTCAGCATTGATGGCAACTAATTCACCTTTCCTGCTCAATAGTGAGACAGTATTTTCCTTTTGCTTCTGCTTTCTTGTAGTTTTTGACATCTCTGGCCAATTTTATTTTGATCTGAGCTTCTGCTTTTCTAACTGCATCTCTGCACACCCTGGTAATGCCCTTGTAGCACTTGATGGGTTTCCATCCACTTTTCCATCTCTGGTATGCTGCTTCTTGGGTTTGGAGCAGACTCAGAAGCTCAGAGTTAAGCCAAGAGGATCTCCTGCTTTGCTCACTTCCCTTACCTTTACAGGGGATGGGCTGTTCCTGTGCTTCCAAAGAGAGCACTCTTGAAAATCTCCCAGCACTTGCTAGCTCCTTTAGCCCCCAGAGGAGCTTTGAACAGAATCCCTCTGAACTGAGCTCTGAGCAAGCTTCTAAACTCTAAAACCTTTGTCTTAGTACTAACACTCAGCATGTTCAGCCAGATTGCAAACTCCAGACTCCAGACCATTGTGATCACTGCAGCCAAGGGTATCATTAGCTGAGATATTACGAAGCAGTTAAGACACCCACATTCAAAACAACTTTTCCACTCAGGTATTTAATGCACCTCAGTGAGCGCCTTTTCAATTCAAACCTTTTGTTCTCCTCAGTTGTTTTCCTGAGGACGAGCCCTAGCTGCCATGATATTCTCCTTGGCCGTCGCAAATGACAGGCTGAGTAAAACCCAGGACGAAGAAAATACTCTCTCACCCTTAGCTGTGTTGTTTTCCAGATGCATTGCAAGGAGGACACTAAAACAAGCCTGGATAATGACAGTGCAAGTTGTCACACCAAGTTTTTATCTCATTTTCATCTACACATTATTCAAAGGATGGTATTTCCATTTGCTGTGCTGCCAATTTAACCACATGGCACCTAAGTACTGGGGCAGCTCTATGCTAAAGAACATTATACACATCAGGTTTTATAAATGCTCTGCATTCTAGATGGTGACTCCACAGAGATAAAAAAAAAGTATCTCTGGCAAAGTCTGCTTAAGTGGAACCTGACAGTACTTTTAAAGCCCATGAAACTTTCCTCTCTTACTGTAAGGGATCAATTTCTGCTCCTTATAACTTAAAAACAAAAAATCCAGATCTTTCTGTTTTCCTAAACTTCTTTTTCTTTTTTTTTTTTTTGCATCTAGAAACACATTTGTAATAAAACACTCACAACATGTTTTGCCATATACAGTGGCCATGCAGCTATAACCTATATACAGCGGCTCAGAGGTAGACGGAATCAACACTAACACATCTCACCAGCTGATCCACAAAAGCAGTATGCTAGAAAAAGGAGTTAGTGCCTTATTATCAAAAGGGATCATTTTCTGCCTGAAGAGAACTGGGTAAAACTGACACAAAACTTACTTTAGTTCCTCTGCAATCATTTTACAGATTTCTCTAATATATTTGTAGTGGTGATTTTCTGGATGAAGTTATCTTAGTGAATGAAGAAAATAAATATATTCATTTGAATCAATTTTAATGCTATGCTATTCCAAAATAGCCTCAGGCAGGGAGTGATGCTGAATGAGAGTGAGGTCAGTGGAGAATTACTCCCTTTTCACTTTGCTAATCATGTCATTCTCATTTTGTGACTGTTTTTGTGATGTGACAGCTTGAGGCCAAAACGACTCTGTGCTCCACTAACACATCCAGAAAGGTGCAAACCAGTAATGAGCAATGGGAAACTTATTTGCTATCCAAGAAAACATCATGCACTACTAAAGAGATTGCACTTTTCCCTCCTTGCAGTTGTCTCTAACCCCAAGCTGGTCTGACCTCTGCCTGAATGCACACTGCTGTCAGTGCACCCACTGCAGGCAGCTGTATTTCAGTGACAGGTTTTAACTCCTCACACAGTGAGAGTCTGTGGAGGCCTCTGTGGGGTTTGAGAATTCATATGATCGTCAGTGATGGAGCTGTCAGCACAGTTATCAAAGACCTCCAAAAACACAGGCAGGGGAGATAAGGAACGCAATAAAGGAGCCCAGCATAAACTGCAGTTCTCCAAGCACAGGTGTGTTTGAGTAAACACCAGCAGGAACAAATTTCTGATAAATTCCCTAAGAAATTAAGAGAGCGATACTGTCAAAGGCAATGCTTGGGAATTATAAGAGCATTATAGGCACAGCTGATATCACAAAGTGCTTTGATAGCCTGCTATCTAATTAGAAGCAAGGGCAGAGGTGACTTATCAAGAAACCACTCCCTTTCCAACTACAGGGCTACAAAATCAAGGATGATTACAAGAAATGCCAGCTCTAAGGTAGGATGGCAAAACAATCATACAGTTCATTAATATAGTGCTGTGCAGGGCAAGGATATCAGAGCACTTTACAAGCATTCATTAACTTTTCACCACACCCCTGGAGGAAATCAATAAGCCAGTATAACCAGGTTTGAGAAGCAGAGGAAATGGAGTCACAAGAGAATCCCCAAATCCTGATCTCACTCTTAAACACAGCTGCATGCTCATTCTGCAGTCTCAGACAGGGGAACTCAGACCTTACAGATGTGGTATATAGGCTTCATGGGAAAAATATGGTACATGTGGTTTCACTGAGATGGGTAATAGGACACATCCTCCTTAGCTACTTACTTTATCAACAAAGAGGTGTGCAAAGGTTTGATACTCCTCACTGCTTGTATTGCTAAAGCCCAGAGAGTATTTCACATTTGTTATCCGTACTGTGCCACTAAGCTTCTGGACAGCTGCAAAGTAAGAAAAAGACAATTAAAATACATGTTTTATGGGCTGTAGTCCATGAACAAGTGTGTGACGGTCACTGGCATGTCCGGCAACATGCCATATGCATCAGTTCACAGTAGCAGAAGGCCAGCCTTCTGAAATGTAGCCAAAACACCGAATGCCTAAACACAGTCATTCAGCACCTTAATCTGCTCTGTCTGACCCCCAGATGACTCTCAAGAAGGGCACTGGCATCCTGGAAGTCTTATATCTGCCAGCTTTATCTTAGATCCTCTGGAGCATCTGAAACGTTGCTGTATGGCTATGTTCAAGCGCCTGAATTGTTCTCCTAGGCTCAGCTAGCCTTCCCAGCTGCCTCTCATGCAACAGGGCAACACCAGTCCCTCCTGAGGGCAAATCATTGCAGCACCAATGTCTTCCCTCCAAACTCAGAGGAAGGCTAGACTGCCGCCTGAGATTAGACGCCTACATTTTATACAGCTGTTGTAAGATAAGATGAACCCCAACAGGGTTTTGCCTGCTTAAAGCAAGCTGCCGAAGCAGGCTTCCTTTATCCCAGTATGCTTCTGATCCCAAAGGAGCCCTCGTCACCACCACCGGTCAGATCAAAGGATTTGGGCTTGCTTTTTGCTATGGCTTGTCCTGTCATGTGAACATGGGAAAAAGGAGATAAACCACATTCATTTAGGAGATAAACCATGTTCATTTAGGAGATAAACCATGTTCATTTAACTGATGCCGAGAGGGGAAAATGTTCTGAACAATTTTCAAACAACAAAAAAAACCACCCCAACAGTACTTAAAAGGCTTGACAGACCATGAAGAGCTGGCTGAGGTTAACCCTCCAGGTCAGAAATGTCGCCACAACGAGGAGCTATATATTAAACTTCAAAAAAACTTATTTTTTCACTCTGAATTTCCTGCACCAGGCTATTGAGATACCACTATGGTGGCTCTTCTTCTTGCTCCCCAGGCATAATCCCTCCACAAGCTTCTTTCCCAGCATTTGGCTGAATACTGGATTCATTTATTTCAGGGAAAGAAAAAAAGCTTTTATAAACTGAACCTGTTTGTGTAGAATTCTTCAATTTATTTTCCAGCCACAAAAAACCCACAATAACATTTTTTTCACTTTTCCCTACATTGACAGAAGGCAGCGGGGACAAAGCAAAGCAAAGGAGTAAAGGGAGCTTTTAAATTCAGATCAATATATTGTTTGGTCCAAAATTGTTTGCTTCCTCCATTTGGCCACCAAGGCTCCAAATGAGTTATTTTCCCAGCTCTGTTCCCAGGTTTCACCCATGCCAGGCAGAGCAAAGGATACAGCATGAAGAAGAGAGAAGGCAGAAGCTGAACAGGGGCATCAGCAGAGCCGCCCAGATCTGAGCAGGACTGCAGAAGTACACATGCTGCCACTGGTGACCAAGACTGGTGGCACAAAAGAGGCTGGTGAAGCAGCAGAGCTGGACTTACATGGCTGAAATAGAGGTTTTCCAGGGAGAAGGAAATGAGGGAGAAGCAGAAGTGGGGCTGGATGAGTGGAGATCCCAGGAGGAGGAGAGAGGGGAAGGGAAGAGGAAGGAGCAGAGGGGAGTGCATTTTTGGATTGGAGAGATGTGGAGGGCATAAGAAGCGGAATAAAGACAAGCAGACACAAAACTGAAATAGGTATCACTTGCTGACACACTAAAGAAAAAAGACATTTAGTCATGGGCAGGGACAGCACCACGCCCATCCCAAATAACTGTAGTTTGAAGACCAAATCTGACTCTAACCTTGAAATATGATTCAGCTCCAATCAGCAGAAAAATCCCCTGATTAGCTGCAGTACATCTGCCCAAACCCAAACAGATTAAGCCCTCCGGCCAACCTAGTTACTCTCAATTACAGCTCTCAAAAGGTTTCCACGCAACTCCTGCCCTACAGGGGATTTGCAGGGCTCTGCCTAATCCATCCTCCACTGGATGAGGAATGGGAAGACAGGTCATTGCCTTCCTGGGTCTCAAATGCTATAGTCAGCCACGCCTGCAGCACGCTGGTGCCAGAGTATGCAGGAGAAACCAAGATGTGTGGCAAAAGGACAAGCAGCATATATTTCAATGAGCCACATTCAGTGCACTGTATTATTTGCTTCATATGCTTTGAGAATAAAAACCAAACAAATAAATATTACTTTCAGAGTAAAAATTTATGAAACTGGCTACTAGATTACCAGAAAGAGGAACTATTTTGACATGCTGATTTAGGAAAAAAGTGCTGATCATGCAAGAAAATAATTCTTGCATAGAAAAACTAGTTTCAGACACCTTTATCCCAGACCACTGATTCCAACTGTGCATCTTTCCTGACTCCAGGTGAGGCTTTGCTTCTCGTGCAGCCAAATCATTATGCGTGTAAGCCCCTGACAGACTCATACTCACTGCGGTTCATGGCTAGGACTGGTGTCAGGCTGGGAGCTGGAGAGGTGCCTGGCAAAGCTGGTGACCCCAGGGCTTCAGGATGTTTTTCTGACCAAGAGGTGTTCTCTCTTCCCATCTCTGCATATGCTTTTATAGTGGTGTTGGCAGTGGGAACACTGGCATCCCCTATGGCCAGCAGAGCTGCACTGGGGCCATCTTCAGAGTTGGCTTGAGGCTCATCAAAAGCTGTGTGACTTCTGGTGGTAGCTGTTCGATTTGGAAACACCAGCAATGACGAACTGAATTGCCCTTGCCCGACTGTGCCCATGGGTGCATTTGTGAGAGCAGCCACCTGCTGCAATGCACCAGGGGAAGTCTCTGCCATGGAGCTTTGCTGTGATGGACTTATGGCCAATTCCGTGCTGGCTGTGGCCCCCGTGGCCGTGGAGCTGTTGTCCCTGCTGAGGTGCATCTGTGATGCCAGGCCTTTTTTCCAAGGGGTTGGAGGAGCACTGGTGGGAGAATGACCATGGGGTGCTTGCTCGTCACCTGGGGACAGTGCAGCAGGGAGGTGTACTGCAGTGCTGGTCTCAGAGCCTGTAGCAGCCACCATCTCTGTGGTGGCAGGGGAAGCAGGGTCTGCAGAGCTTACTTCTTCAGGAGCAAACTCTGTGCTGTTTGCTATTTCAGGAGCCACTGTTTCAGTGAGAGGGTCCACAATCTCACCTGAAACACAACAAACACATTGAAATGGGACCTCAGACAAGATGAGGGCACAACAGGGTCTGGCCTGAAAATGAGGCTGAGAGCACTCAGCCATGCATAATAGAGTTACAGAAATGGATATTTCTTGGATATTTTGTTAACACATTATGGTATATGTGTTTGTTATGGTGTTGAACCTGGTTTGTGCCTACACAAAGAAGTAGATTTGATTCCTGGGTCTTTTCTTTTGATTGGCAGGCCATGGATTGTTACAGTGGGAAGAAATTAGCCACAGACATAGCAGAAGAGGAAAAGGTATGCCTTATGTTCCTCAGCAGTCAATTAGTAAGCTAAGCAAAGGAGGATCTCAGAAAGATTTCACCTGAAGATGCATATAACGTTCAGAGACAGACCATATATAGGCCTTCAGCCAGAGACTGCAAAGGTGCATCTATATACACATTGTGAGCTATATAAATAGTTGTAATAAAAGCAGAGGTAAAACAATTCCAACCATTCATGCCAAAAGGAAACTACATGCCGGTCTTTTGCTCACCCTCACAGTTTCTTCCAGGTCGGGATGGGTTGGTATCCATGGTTGTCTTGCATCTGCACGTGTATGAGCCCATCAGGTTGATACACTCAGCAAACACAGAGCAGTCATTCTCCACACGAGAAGTACATTCATCCCAGTCTGTAAGGCCAAAACCAGAACACTGGTCAGATATAGCCTCCCTTCTGGCTGCATTAAGCTAGAGATAATCCTGAAGTAGTCCTTTCTTCAGTTTTTGAATTTGTGAATGTGTTTTTCCCTTCTCATCACTTATGTGACAGCCAAGCTCTGAGTGATGCACAATACTGTCTGTGTTGTTACTCTCTTACCTAGAAATCAACTTTTGTCTTTGTACTCTGAAAAATATTTTCTCCAAGTAAAAACTTTGAAAATATTTTTTGAAAGTAAACACTTATTTGAAGTGAAAAAAAAATATTGTAAGTTTGTACTATAGCTATAGCAAAAGCATAGATTGTACCAAGTTCTGCATTTAGTACCTCCAGATACATCAGGCAATGAATAGAACTGCTACCAGCAGATAGAATATTAAGTAATCCAAATAATCTTCTGCCTCAAATAAAAGGTAAATACAAGTAACTCCCACAAGAAGCACTCTTCAGTTCATAACAGAGGAAGTGTTAAGGGCAAAACTCTTTTTATAAAAGCTTTCTTGTCACAGATAATACTGTAAAACTGTGACCTCCTTCTGGTAGTCTTAGGAAAGAGATCCTAGTTCATCAATGCATGAATGTGCTCTAAGGGTGTCCCTTATGTCTAACTTCAGCTACTCTGCATCAGTTAGACATGCTTCTTTTCATATAGAAATATTTTATTGCTCAGTCTCTTTACTCTTTAGGGATTTAGATGAGCAGCCTTATGTCACCATTCGCACCCAGCAAACATGCAAAGGCCGGGCAAATACTTTGGAAATGGATTATCTCAGTGAATCCCATGTGAGCCCTCCCTGTGTGCACTCCCTTGTGCATACACCTTGAGAGCCTCGGGGCTGTAAGTGAGGGAAAGCAGAAAACTAGACTGAAAATTGTGTCTTTGGACAAATGATTCTGATCATAGGCCAGAAAATTGTTTTGAACAATGCGTTATTGCAAGTGCTTGTTCTGCAAACATGTGGAGATTAATGAACGATTATTTCTCTGAAACAAAGAAAAGTCCCAGTCTAGAAACAGAAAGCACAGAGTAGGTGTGTACATGACCATACAAATGTTCATCTTTCTGCTTTGCTGACAGCCTTCCCCTTTTACTTCCCTCAGCTAATATTTCCATTCTTTCTCTTTTCTTCTTCATTAGATAATTGTTGCATCCAAGATTGTTTCCATTAGACAATTTCTTGTGCCTGTGGCCAGCATCTGCCGATTATGTTACAGCCTAAGCCACTTGGAGGGAATACAGAAGTACCCAGGATTGACTAAAGCATCAGCAATGAAAGTGCTCTCATTAATGCCTTACTATGCTATGAAGTAATTGTGACCCTTCAAACACCATCAGTGAGATGCTCCTGTGCTGATTGCCAGATAATTTATGTTCACTGGCTCCACTGTCTCAGAGGGTTTCCATTCTCATCACTTAGCATTGTAACAGCTAATGGCTTCACATGGCTTAGCATGGCTTTTTAAGCAAATTTCTTAACCTCTGATGGCCACATTCAGTCATGCATCAGGCCAAAACGGTTATGTTCTCAGTGAGTACTGTCACTTGCTCTGAATACCCACTGTATCTTTAAGAGGTAAATACAATAGGTAAAAGTCTGTGAAATTCTTTGACTAATGATATTGCAGATGGTAAAGATTTGCATGAGTTCATGGAGATCCCAAGGAGGAGAAACCCACAGAAATCACTCTGGATTCAGGAAGTCGTGGAGCAGAAAACGGCTAAGAGAGTATTAGTGAGAAGCATCATCTATACTTACTGTATTGTTCTTATTTCAGTTTCTCCAGGAATTGGCTCCTGGGTGCTACTGAAGACATCACACTGTGCTAGGTGGATCTTGGGCTTGACTCAGCACACATCCCTTTTTCTTTTCCTACCATGCCTCACGCAATAGACAGACATTTTAGTATCTCTGTTCATCATGGCAGTAAACTTAATACTTTATGAGTCTTCAAAGAAAGATGTGATTGCTCTAATCCCTTCAATTATGCTATCCCTTCTGACTTCTCACTTTTGATGTGTCAAAGTTGAATTCCCTGCTCTGCCACTGTCACTAAATCAAACACATAGCCTTTTGGTGGCCAGGCTCCACCAAGGATCCAGGTGGCATTGCTCCACTGCTGTAAGAGGATCTGTGTGAGCTTACTATCAAAGGGCATGTCCCAGGGCAATCAGGAATCAGGAAGTAAAACATCCCATTATACAAATCTTTTCTTCATATACCTCACTCCTTCACTTTATTTTCTACCAAAAAAAGCCTGTTTGGTTGGAGCCAAGACATAGCCCCCTTTTTTCTCCCCCATAAGGAGGAGTTGGCTGAGCTCCTGGCTGAGTGGTGCTACTGGAACCCATCTGGTTTTCTGCAATCAAAGGAACAGTCCAGAACTATCGCCTTTTCCCTCACCACTCTTTCGGGCCCAGGATCAATAATATTTTGGCACACATTAGGATCTTGCAATTCAGTATCCACAACCACTGTGTTATTTGTAGGCTTCAGGTGCAATTTGTCTCGGTTTTTTTTCTGTCCTGTTCTCCTTTACCTCCATAAGCTCTACAACCCCAAAGGGAGTTTTCCCTGAGCACAGTAAATAAGCTTTTAAGGGTTCAATATACTGGGACAGAAGAATAACCCATTTCGTTGGCTTTGGCAACTTTCTGAACTCTGGCTGGCTCTGACAGCTGGAAACCTGAAGCCAGAACTTAGCTCTTTGAAGATAAAAATGGTGATTACCAAAGATCAAACAAAGGCCTCATTTAACATAAATTCCATGCATGTTTCTTTAGTCCTATTCATTGAGAGGACATCTGGGAATTTCTCTGGCTGGATTTCTATAATGAAGATGTTAGATTTCTTAAACCCTGGCCCAAATACAGCCCCACAGCTTTGAAGCACAAAACTCTCTAGAGGCCATGTGTATGTAAAGGCCACAAATATTCCACAGTAATAATATCTGCAGTTCAGTGAGAGAAAGATATGGCAAATTTCCAACTGCTCACAAAGAGGAAAGGGAGGAAAATTAATATGGAAACCAAGAGTTCCACTCCTCCTTAAACACAGTGGAGGGCAGCAGTGCCTGCAGGTACCTGGAGACAGCCAATGCTGCTTCTTCCGACCCCTTCTGAGCTTATGAATAAAAGCCTACAGAGGAGTTCTCACATCATGGTTTTACCTCCAACAAACCATGTACTTTGTCTCTCTACAAAATACTTTTGATGAAGAACGCTGGTGAGACTGTGCCCCATCAAAATACAGACCCTGTTTTCCTGTTAAAAAAATAAGTAATTACCTTCTACTGTAGTGTTCTGCTGATCCACCAAAAGCACTGAGCCATTGCGCAGGTAAGAAAACACCAGGGCAAATGTGGAGGCATCAACTGGAAACTCGGGATCCTGCACAGTGATTCTGAGCCTCGCAATGATGCTTCCAGCTTGCAGGGATTCCACCTGCACTTTCAGCTTCCCGGATTTGTATAAAGCAGAAACATTGGGTGGAAATGAATTTTCAAGCTGAGCAAAGGGAGAGACACATCAGTAATTAGGAACCCAACAGGTATAGCTCCTTTTAAAACTGAGCTATGGTGGTACCATTGTAAAGATCTATATATGCATAACATAGAAAATGTTTTAAAAAGAAAAATTTCAAAGAGTTTCAGAAATCTTACTTCTCAGAGATTACTGAGGCACAGAGAAGTGTGGCTCTCCTTGGTGCACATAGGTACCCTTGGAAACGGTACCCATCTGACCACTGGTCTTACAAACCAAGCTTAATTTTGGCTCAAGGGAGCAGAATATCTTTTGCTCCTGTTTACCAGCATCACAACTGAACTGGTCCACTAAATCTGCATGCAGACTGATGTTAGATGTCTATGTCATGTAAGCTTTTTGTTCCAGGCCTCCTATACATTTGCTTCTGCACTTCCAGACTCTGGTTTGTGCCAGTTGGTGTTAGTGCCAGAGAATGGTTCAGGAAATGTTTCATTTACCAGTAGAGCATAGCTTTAGCTCACGGGGAGTATTTGAAACTCACCAGCCCAAGTCCAACTTGGAGCTGAGTCCAGTGATATAGAAATCTCAGGATGAGAGACAAAAAAAATGGAGGGTGTAACTTCAAGAAAATGTGTTTGATACAGCCCAGCTTCAAGGCAATATCACAATTACATCATGGTTCATTATCAAACCAGTAAGCAGACACATTCGTTGACCAAATGGTGCTACTTTGAACATTAAAGCTGGCATACTGCTGTCAACATCTGAGCTCTGCAGGAGCTTGCAGTTTTATCTTCCATCTTCAGGAGGCATCTCTTTGCTTGAGCCTTTTGCTCCTACATACACCTCAAAGAATGCCTTTGAGGACACAATGCAGAGCCATAAATCAACACAGCTTTGTTCCCATTCAGTCAGAGTTTTCTCTAAAAATTACTCCAACCAAGATGTTTAACTGGTCTAAGCTGACATCAGGGTGGGAAGGCAAGAAAAAGAGAGGAAAGAGGAAGTGAAATGGGAATGTTATGCTCACAAACACCCAAGGAGGCAAAGGCAACAGAGATGGGCAATGCTCCTGTGCCTTCCCTACCCCATTATGACAATTAGGCCTGCATTAGTCTCAGAGAAGATTAAGTTGCAAAAATCCTTCTGCACAACAAAAGTAAACAATCTGAGCTATGGATGGGAAATAAAGCCGTGTCAGGAATGAGCAAATGTCTCTTCTTTGCTGCCTTTGAAATGGTCTTTTTCCTCACGTTTATATTCACAAATGTTTATGAGTCACACTTTGGTTTAGGAATGTCTTGTTTTGAATGGAGATCCCAATTCGTCTTTATGGGCCTTGCTCTTACAGCAAAACTAGAGATTACTGCACATGAAACATCCCCCTTGTTTTGGAAGCTGAGGGCTGGTAATAGACCTCATGACTCAACTTTTGTTTATGGCTGATTGCAGCTGAGCATGGTCAAGTGGCTACATGTGTGCATGAAATGAATGGGGCTGGAGAAGCAAGCTTGATCCAGTCACTTTTCCTAAAAGAAGACAGATCCTTGAGAGCAGTCAGACATTTATTGAGAGGACAGCACTGAAATTAATGCCAGCAATGTCGTTTCAATAATCCATTAAAAAGCCTCAAGTCAAGTTAGTGTGAGTTTATTGCCAAACTATAGATCCAAGGAAAGGGTCCTTTTTGCCTGCATTTTTAATTCCTTTACTCCTCAGTAGGGAAAAATTCTCACTGGTTCTGTCGCTAATAAGGCCAATGGTTTGATCTGTCTAGTCAGCTGAATTTTGATTTAGTTATAAAGAAAGGTCACAGGAAACAGAATGATGATTTTCAAGGGCGTTTCAGCCAGGCATAAAATTCTCTATTACATTAAATAAATTCTAAATTAAAAAAAAAAATCAAAACCAAAACCATGTATATATGTATATTCATGTATGCATAAAGCCCAGAGATATTTTAGCACTACCTCCATAAGCAGCAGTCTTGAAAATTCTTCATATGCTGAGCTGCTGGCATTCTTGAAATCATCAGTGAAGTTGTAGTTGAGAATCCTCATAGTAACACCAAACACCTTGGCTTCTGTAGGACATAATATAAAAATACACAGTGATAAAGCAGAGGATGGAAGGATTCAGTCAAAACTGAGCTACCCAGACCAAAATCTCAGATGATGGAGGGAGAAGGTACGGAGACGGTTGAGAGAGTTTGGTATTAAACTGAGAAAATAAAGCAAATATTCTGCTACAAGCTTCCTATATAATGAGGAGATGCACTTACATTAGGTCTATAAATATATTTAGGTGCCTAGTTAGAACCAAATGAGAACTGGGTATACACATACCCTCATGGACCTGACCCTTCATAACTCTTGCGCTTGAGTTACATCCAGGGATGCATTGCCTCTGAGCTCATCATTGGTCCCCCAGTCACAGTGTTTATTTTTTTTCCTGATCTTGGTATTATGAATATAGTAAATATATTCTTCAACTGAAAATAACAACAAAAATGTGCATGCCACTTCTCTGTCTGGTGAGCCCTGACAGATAACGTACAGAGCTCATGAACCAAAACCAAGAGCCAAGGAACCTATAACCACTTTAACCTGTAAAAACAATCTCAGGCCATTACTCTTTGGACTGATCTTTGGAAAACTTTCATTTTAATAACTACTATTTTTCTCAAGGGCTCCAACTTCATACCCTGAACTCCAGCCCCTGTTCCCGTAACCACCAGACCTCCTACTTTCCCTGTACAAAGGGAGTAATTTCCTTCTGACCCAAACTGGAGTCAGCCCTCATCTGACCAAAGGGGAGGCTTTTATGGATAAATATAAACAGCAGCATTCTCACTGTGGCCAGTATTAAATAGCTCACTGCCTGCTTTTTGAAGAAAATGGGGAGAGGATTATTTCTTTATTTCCATGCAGGCTTAGGAAACTAAGGATAAAGGAAAGGCAAAAGTATGTTTGATCAGCACACTAAGGTCCCAGGTTGCTAGAATCGTGACCTAATTGAACAAAATTATCCAAGTACTCTGCAAGCTTTCTTACACAGCCCTGGTTATTCCCTTCAATCCCCATCACTCACAAACACTCAGCTGAATCTGGCCTTCCTCTGGGCACTCTTGGTAGATCAGCGGACCCCTTGAGAAACCAGATGACTGGATTTCTCACTGGCCACAGCCATCAACCAGGAAAAATGGGGCTGATGGGAGACGGGCAGCAGCAGAATGCAGTGCCAGGCACACACACACAAAAGTATTCTAGCTTAGTTTGATACCTGTAATAGTCTGAGTCAGCTCCAGCACTGCTCTATTAACTAAGGCCAGAGCTCTGCTGCTTGATAGTTGAGGTCACACAAATACTGAGGTAGATGACACAAAAAGTGCTGAAAGAGGTGGGAAGATAGGAAATGCAGTTCGAAGAGGACCAAATGGATCATTGCTGAGCTGCAAGTGAGTGAAGGGGTGAAGGGAGGAGAGAATGCATATATATTATAAAGTTGTTATTTACCTGTTTTAACATTTTGACGAGAGATGCTGGTTTTTCCACAGGTTTCATAGCTGATCTCTACTGAATACATCACACCTGCTTCCAGCTGAGACACATACACTTTCATTTCCTCTGTCTTCAGGTTTTGTACAATCTCTTTGCCCTTGAACACTTGGACTTGGAAAGTATGGTTCAGAGTAGAAGTGACATGCCAGGACACTTCAAAACCACTGCTGTTGACACTGAAGACTCGGTGGTTTCTAACTGTAGAGGGATCTGTTCCAATCCCAGGAAGAGTCATCACAGGAAAAGCAACATTTAATCTTTAAAGTATTGTGGTATTGTAAATCCACTGTAGACAAGCTCTTCGGCAATCAATAGGGGAAACTCCTCTTTATACTACATCAAGACAGAACCTTCTCTCACACTACAAGGTCCCCTCATCTATGAGCCATCCCACTAGAGCGATTAATTTGGTGCTTACATTTTTATTTCCTTTTACTATAAGTATTTGTGCTGGACCTCAAGTAACACTGACAATCAGACAGTGAGTTACAGGTTCAAGCAACAGGGATAAGTTTGGAATAGTGAATCTGCATGCTCTACAAAAATTGACACCTACTATGCTTCTTGTCACTTTAATCATCAAAATGCATGTCTTCAGGCAAAGGTGCCTTGATTTATGCCTGGAGAAAGTCCACAGACCCTATCTTATAGAGGCTGGGGGCAGAGCAGCAGGCAGCGTTTTACCTATTTATGCTACTCTAGTCCAGTGCAATCACTGTTGTGTCAATGGGAAAAGACAGGACCCTTCAGAGATGATTTCCTCCTCGAAGGAGGAGGAGATGGTGTCTAAATTGAGTAGGATTAATTGCCCTCCAGCAGAGCCAGTCTGTATCCACTAACTATAGACAGAGCCCAGACTAGACACTTGTCCTGTAGACAGCTGGGGTCAGGTGAGATTAACGTCATCCCCCATGCTAACCTAGAGACCACAGCATGCTGCTACCACAGCTTTAATTCTTTCATGCTAATGATTAGTCTGAGAAAAAAAGTTTGCTTTCTGAAATTGTTTCAATAGAACACAACTGTTTCCATGACTCTGAGGCAGGTGGCTGCCAACCAGCCCAAAGCCATACTGCCCCAGCACTAGGGGGACTTCAGTTTAACTCCTCTAGCTTCAGCTTGAATCAAAAGTTGTGGTTGAAATCAAGAATATCCAGCCTTTCTCTCTGAATTAGGCAAATAACTACTTTGAGCTATTTCCTCCAACAGGAAGAACAGGGTGTTGTAAACAAAGTTTGTGATAACTCTTGCCTGAAAGGGCTGAAGTCACCCATATAAAGACAAATCTACTGGGGTTTGTTCCCATCACAGTCCCTTAGACAGCTGTAGTGTATAGCAGGGAGGGTATTCACAAAGGCTAATTCCACAGCTGTAGCCAACCTCCCTGACTGATGTCCCCCACCAACATCTTCATGGACTCAAAAGCGAGAAGTGCCCTCATCTTGGTGGCTGTGGTCAGAGGGAGCTCCTGCGATTGGTAGCAGATCCTCCCATACCTTGTTCCAGGACAAGCCTGGGACATGCAGTGACCTGTGTTCCAGGTGAGTGAGTGGTGCTGGCCTCACACAGCCCTCACTGGCAGGCTGCTTGTGCTGTAGGATTATCTATCACAAGTGCTGTGGTGGGACACGCATTTGAATGGCTCACCAGGCCACTTCCAGAAGGCCAATTCCCTTCAGTAGCCATGGGAATAACAGTAGAGCTTCTCCAGTGGTCAATTCACAACATCACAGCCCTTGAGCTGAATGTCCCACTGGGGAAGCCTCTCTCCATTTCCATCAGTGGAGATCCACTCCAAAATTATTACCAGCTTCTGTGAACACCCCTCTGTAACTCAACCAGCCCCAGGAATAAAGGATCAAACAGTGGCTGAATCAAAAGCAAGACAATATTCATGCAAATTCAAGGTTACTTACAGCACCCAGCATCTGTAGGTTGGTTAGTTATGGACAACAGACTTGAATTGCTTACAGGCAGGGAGCTATTGCTCATGTTAACAGGACTCAGTGCTGAACTTGGAGTAGATGCTGCTATGCCTAGAAGGAAAATAGTATCATCAAAGAATTAAAGTATTCCTAACAAAGCAAATCCAAAGGAATACTATTCATGTTTTCTGCAGCTGAAAAGCAGCAATAGATAAAATAGAAATAGAAATTAAAATAAACATATTATCATATCACGAAAGTATAAAGTAATACATTATCTTCTTTTTTGAGATTAAAGGATTGTAAAATTGTTTTCTAACTAAGGCAATGGATCTGCAAGCACTTATTTATCTCATGAACTTAAAGCCTATTAGCAGGCCCATTGATGCCTGTGGGACCTAAGTATATGCCTCTATATTTTGCACTCCATATTTTGGTACTGCAAAGTATTATTTCATCCATTGCCAAAGTCTGTCTGCTCCAACAGAGGATTCAGTGACCATACAGCAGCTCAAGGTGCGATTATACAACCTTTGTGCCCTGGCTGCAGTCATACAGCCAAAATGAGAAGGAGGCTTTGTGGACAAATGGTGCCATTAATCGGATTTTCCCAGGAAGCTGGGGAGGTGCACTGACAACAGGGTCTGAAGCTAAAGGTTTTGGCAGGTGAGTGAGGACAGCTGAAGGTAGGATAAGAGAAACAACAAAGAACCCTGAAATAAATACACTGCAATTCAATCAGAGAGAGCTAACAGCTGGCAGGTGTGGCATCTTCTCCCAACAGAAGGAGAAAGGGCACTGGGTGCTCCAGAAATCTTTGCCTTGCAGGTGATGCCTGGCATAGGCCCCAAGAAGTCCTGCAGAAACAGTCTCAGTATTTCTCAAGGTGAGATCTACATTTCCTACCTTCCTTTCTTCTGCTCAGCTGGTGAGGAATGACATCTGCATGCCCATGCTGAGGGTCACAGCTGTAATAACCCTCCAGATTTACACAGGTGTTCTTCTCAGGACAAGCATTGAATCCCACATAGGAACATTCGTTGACATCTATGAAGAGGAATACACCTTGCACAGATGTTGATAGCAGCATCAAGACTGATCTGCAGTATGTGTACACTAGGCTCTGGATATGATAAATTCAGTGTAAATCTGCAGTAACTCTGCAAAAGCAATTCTGGATGTATATGGGAGCAACGAAATTAGAATGCTGCCCTTCCCTGAAAGAGTGATTTCTCTGAAAGTTGGGCTGAGTTTTCCAAAATAAGCACAGAACAAGAAGTGATGACAGTGGTGCTTATTGATGTATTTCAGGAGTGAAAATGTCCAATAACTACATAATAATAAGGAGATTAAAATAATTTAAACTGAATGTATTTAAATTATTTACCTAACATTTAAGAAGTAGGTAATAATATGCTATAGTAATTAACACACTATGAGTACAACTTGTTCCATGCAAGCTACTGGAAGTAACACATCTCTAAAAATAGAGTATATCTGCTTCCCAGGAAAACACTTTTTTTAAAAGCTTGTTTAATATAACTAATGACTGTGCTACAAATATGGGCCTCCTTGCTTTTTCATCTGAAGACGCTATTAGGAGAAAATAAATTTAATTGAGGAATCAGGAATATTTCCCTCCAAATATTCTCTCCAAAGTAATTATTAACTACAAGCTTCTCCTTCCTACAATGGAAAGGTTAGGGACATATTTACAAAGTTTACAAGGTCTGCTGTGCTATTTTTGAAAGTAAATGGACAGTCATATAGATGAAACCCCCAGTGAAGAGGGATGAAACCCCTACAAAATTTCCCCCCATCACAGGATTATAACAAATAACCTTGCACTTCGGTATCAATCACTTCATATATACGCTTCACGATGTCCTTCAAGGAAGAAGAAACTTGCATGAGCGGAGCTGGCTGATGCAGTCCAATGAGAACCTGGGAGGCCACTGTCCCAGCATATACTTCTGCATGGTTACTCTGGATATGGTGTACGGAGGCATTCAAGGGATCTAATGCACCAGTAATCTGGAAAACAAGAGCACAAACACTTCAGTACCTCACACCTCTGCTAGGGCTCTATTTTTATTTGATTGCCTCAAACTGTTCCTATCTCTCATGCCGGGGATAGGAAAAGACATGCTCTCATGGCTGCTGCTAATCCGTGCACATGAGCCTGGCTGTACAGCAAAAGCAGCACACTGTCATCTCCCTCAGCCTTGCTTCTGTGGCAAGAATGACAACAAAGTGCCCCTGACCCAGACGCAGTCCCCCTGGACTTCCTCAGCAAAACTTCTGGCACTGCTGAGTCCACCTGCCCTGTAGGTCCCAGTGCCATAGGTCAGGTTTGTCTCTTGAAAGGGTTAAATCACAACTCCTTTGATCTAATCGTGCTTTGCAGATTTGCAGACATCCGGAGCTGGGTGGTTGTAGACCAAAAACTCAGCTGAGACAGAGGTGGAGCAAGCATCACTCAGGCAGGAAAAAACCCTATATTCTATGATGTCTTTAAATCGCCCTCAGAAGAGACCTGGAAAATTTCCTAAATAAGCTGATAAATCAATGTCATTTGAGCTACTTGAGGATTCAGCTGACATTCAGTAATTAGGAACAAATTAGGGCAAAATATCCCTGATCTTGCAGAACAAAGCAGGAGCAACTAGCTAGCAAGGTTACGACTATGAAGCAAGTGGTGGTTACTGAGTAACAGAAACGTGGACAAAACAAGCAACACAGGGGGGCGTTTACGTTTGTACATACCATGGAGTGCAAAAGGCGTGAATGATTCAAAAGATGGGAATCCACTCTGATTAATTCATCAAAATCCATTTTCACAAGCACTGTCACGTTGTACCAGAATGTACTTCCTGAAGCATACAAATGAAAACAGCCAAGTCATCTATGGTCTGATGTTATAGAAAGAGACAGAGCTATAGGAAGGGTCTAGGAAACCAAAGCAAGCTTTAATTTGGCAAATATGAAGGCCCACGCACAGCCATCATCTACAGCCTTGTTTGCCATATGCTGCAGGCAGCCGTGCCAATGAAGGAGAAGAAGGCAGAGAAGGTCCACTGGACCCTCAGCATCCACACAGCATTCAGCACTCCTAGGTGCAAGTACTGAAGCTGAATGTCCTGGAATTGATCCAAAGCAGATTCCCATATTTGTTTTATGAAAAGCTATGGTAACAGTTTTTCTGCCCACTCCCACCCTCAGAAGGAAAAATTATGCATATTTCTCTTAGGAGCAGTCTTGAATTTATCAGTAACATACCCTCTGGCACTGGATCCACGCAGCCTGCTCCTATGGAAGAGTTGCAGCATTTTTTAAGCCCTGGACATTCAGTATCAAAAGTGCAAGGATAATCCAATGTTTCCATATTCTCCTTTGGACAAGCACCAGGTCTTGAGGCAAATACACTGGATCTATTGAGTGCTAAGTAACAAAAACATTTATGAGAACAAAAATACAGAAGAATGTTTCCATAAAACTGTGCAATTGAATTTATATCAAACACCTCCTCCTCATTTTAGAAGTGCGTCTGTTCTGAGGTTTTCATGGGGAGAGAATAGCAGCCTAAATTACCATTACTTCACTTCAAGAGTGTGAATGTTCTCAGTTTTTTCTCTTGTTCATGAAACTTCTGTTACTAAATTTTAAATTTATAATTTTCCATTGATAATTATGGATAAATGGGGGGGAGAGAGCAAGAGAGTGTTTCTAAATGTGGTCGCACTAGAAGCACTGCAAAACAGAAAAGGCGTCTGATGTCAGCTATGACTAATCCAAATAATATATAATGAGCAAAGGAAACAGGTAACATCTGAGCTAGAAATCAGTAGTTTTCAGTTAGTATTTTGTTGCAACAAAGTTAACCATTAGTTGTAGTAATTGAAAATGAGAGTGGAGACACAGCGCTGTTCTCAGGTACACTTAACAGGGTTACACAGAGGGACAGAGCAGAACTGAGCCTGTGGTCCACAGGCTGACAGCACTTGCTCTGTATCAGCCAACTACCTTGGGAGGTCAATAGCCCACGCTGGACAGCCCTGTGGAGAGGGCAGCTAAGGGAGAAAGTTGCTGATTCCCAAGCCGAGGGCAGACAGTGATCCTGGTTCAATGGCAGCACATACTCTTCTCCACAGGAAAAGAGAAAATATTTCTAAGTTCTACAAACATTGCTTTCACTCATGCTTTTAAACGTAGCTCCAAGGAATGCTCAGCTCTGGTCTTTCCAATCCACCTTAAAGATTTCTCTTTTCTGTTCATTTTGAACCTACAGTTTTTTGGTCTTCCCCATGACCAACTCTGCTTCCAAAAATCATTTTGAGTCAGAGGCCTAGGTTTGCAGTGGGAGGATGGGGTGAAATTCAAACCCATGCAACCTTACTTAAGTTACTTCTGGGTCCAGCAAGTCCCAACAGCCCTATTCTCCTTCCCAGCATGGACCAGAAACCTTTGCTCTGGGGCTGGCGCTATGGGCTGTTCCCCCAAACAGGCTCTGCTGCTAGAAAGCCTTTTTCTGATTTCTAGTCTAAAGCCACAATAAGGTGTGATGCAGCCTCAGTTGATGTCAGATGAGTCTCCCACACATTCCCAGCCTCACGCAATTGCTGCATCCCAGCTGCGCGCCAGGAGGCTAAGCAGCCTCTCGCACTGGGAGCTTGCACAGACACGAGCAACAAGAGATTTCTGTGCATTAGTACATCATCAGAGCTCCTTAATATCCAAACCAGGTAGATCTTGGTAAGCTGGACAGAAACATGTAAATTCCTCTGGCTCTGAGATTCAGGTGCAGCTCAAGCAGTTTTGACGTTCAAAGCAGCTTTTTTCCACCTAGGTCTTTTTTTTTTGGCATGTTTAACTGCAACGTAAAAGGTTTAATGAGTCACATGCAATCTCAGAAAACACTATTGAATCCTGGCCGAGTGCCACACCAGCCATTTATCTAAATTCAAAAGGTCATCATTTTCGCATCAGCGGAAACAGATGGATTCACATCACATTTCTGCCTAATTGTGCCAGGTGCACTTTGAAATTCAATTTGTGCTCTCCACTTCAATCACATTTGGGACAATCACCTACAAAGCAACACCGCCAGCACTGAAGAGCAAGCCAGCCAGCTCCTGTCAGCTGGATAAAGTACAGGCTTTTCTCCTCCTTTATTTGCATAAATGTACAGAAGCAGAAATGTAGCACCCAGTGCTTAGCAATGAAAGGTCAGTTACCAGCTTGCATGAAAGCCACGGGGTCTGCTGTGAGCACAGGATGGGAGGATCTCCCAGGAAATAGATGCTGAGGACACCATTATCTTAGCCATTACCCTCTTCTTCTTTCTCCTTCCACCTAGAAGGGACGGGTTTCATCTAGAGGGTGCGGCAGAGGCAAGCACCAACACCCTGCACTCATCTCAGGCGTCAGAAGGTGGAGACAAATCTGTGAGGTGATAGAAAGGGCTCCTGGCAAAGCCTGTTAAAAAGGCAGGCTGGCAGTTTTCATCATATGACCCCGTTTTCAGGGTCTCTGGCCACTGCTAAACTGTACCTGCTCAGATGGATGTTTTCCACCCTGACTGCCTGTCCAGGGTTAATTGGGCTGGAGGGCAGTGTCAGGATGTGCTAGTTCAGCATCTGACAAATATTTAACACTGTCCCCTATGAAAAGCCCTATCATTCACTAGAACATAATCAGGAGGCAATGGCTGAAACTCAGCAAGGACACGGCCTTAGAAGAGCAAACCAATCTGCACATGCTCAGAAGAAATCTAATGAAGTTTAGCCACTGCCACATTCAGAGGGTTCATCCTGCCAGCAGCACCATGCCGTGTGCTCTGCCCAGCTGATGCTCACATCCGCAATCAGTAGAGAGCAGGCAGGGACCTGTGGTGACCAGATGCGACTCAAGGGATTAATGCAGCCATGAAAGGCACAAGGTGGGTAACTGAATGAAGCAGATAACTTGCAAGGAAAGACTACTAAAAAGGCTGGGGCTTTTTGCTGTGTAGATGGGAAGGATGAAGGGGATATGATCAAGGTTTACAGAATACCAAAGGCAGGGAAGAAGGTGAAAGCAGAGCCAGTATTCACCATAGCCCACAGTAATAAAACGGGTGAAAACACACACTTCTTTACCCAAATGGGAGTAAACTTCTGAAATTTGTCGGCACAGGGCATGTGGAGGCAGACAGCTTCAGTGGTCCCAAAAAAGGACACGACAATTCCTGGGCAGGAGGCCCATAAGCAAGCAGACCCCATAGGCAGGGACACCTGTAATCCCATTTCTGCAGCTGCTGAGGGACACAAGGTACCCAAAGTGCAGGGCAGGCAGGGACACCTGGTTCCGGGTGAATTCTGGCACCTTCCTACCCCAGGTTGGTGCTGCAGTGCTGGTCTCATGCCCCTGGTGACACCACTGCCCAAGCAGGGGGGACAGCTGTGCCACAGTTCCACATTGCTCTGGTGAGACTTAGCATGAGATCATCTGCATGCCGGCTCTGAAAGGTCCCAGCCCCTCTGAGGCACCTGTGTACCAAAAAATGAATGGGTTGAAGTTACTCACACAAAGCAGCATACTCTACTTCAAGAATGGCCTTAACACTGCAAATCAAGTACCCTCAAGTTAACGAACTCCAGGATTGCACTTGTCTGGGCCTTCTGATTTCATGGTATTTTTATATATATGTGTTTAAAAGACAGCCTTCATTACATGCTGATGCGCTCTTTTACTCCATAGCTGGAGATCAAGCAGGGTTGTATGGCAGATAAAGAAGCTCTCTGGTTTCATCTTATGCATTAAGGTGGAAGGTGGCAGCAAACCAGTCACCAGAAGTAACTGTACCATCAATTCAAGTAGCTGGAAACTAGCCTGGAGAACTGGGCACTGTCTCTACCTAATAAAAAGTCCTGCAAAATGCTGGGAAAATTTTGTACAACAAACTCATAACAACCTTTTAGAGCCATGGGCTTCACAGGTCCAGGAACCTGACCTGCAGCCCTGGGACCTGCCTAGCAGTTAGACTGCTCATAGTCACCATGGAAGGACATGAGGCTCTGCGCTACAAGCACACAAGTTGTTGAAGGCAGCACGAAGCACTCTGAATATCAAAATCAAAATAAATGGAAGAAAAAAATTAAAACCCTACCGTAAGTGTCTGGAAGTGGGCACACAAAATTATTCAGTCTCAGTTTCTCTGCGGGTAGTTGCCCAGCTGTGAAAGACAGAGAACCTCCCTCCCTTCCCACAGGCTTTGTGAAGACAAATTGGTGTATGTGAATCACCCCAGGGTTCACCTTAAGATGTGATAAATATTTTTCTGTTCAGACAGAAGCTCAGCAGAGCCCTGCCCCATGCACTGAATGAGGAGGCGAGGACAACACACTGCTGGCGAGCTCCTTAGAGGCTCCATCATCCCTGATCACCTCAGGGAAATGTGGTACTCAGAGCAACGCAGTGCCAGATCAGGTAATTAAAAGAGTTAATGTGCCCTGCATGCATAGGCACAAGGAGAGTAAAGTAACAAAGGTTGTTAAAGTAATAAAGACAAGGTTGTCTTATTTAATTCTACCTTTAAAATTAATTCTAGCACTTCCTAACTTTTAGATATTTAATTTCTTTTCCATTTTTATTTTTAAAAAGTTAAAGTAATTTGTGTGTGCATAACACTATTCTAATGGATTGATAGGTAAGTAGTAAGAACTACCAAAGTAACTGGACTAATGACCTAGACAATTTTTCCCAACAGTAAAGAAATAAGAAAAGAGGGATGTGTCATATCCCAAGCAAGAATAAATGTTTTCTTCTAGGAAGAAAAGGTGGGGAGTGGCCAGGAGCAGGTTGCTGTGAAAGGTCATGCAGACCTTTCCACTCCTAACAGGACAGAGAGCATGCCGGTATGGATAACGTCAAGAGAACATAAGAGTAGTTCAACAGCGTGCTGCACAGTGGTTTCAGCAGTTCCAGTTTCTCTTCTCATCATTTATTTAAGACTGTGTCTAGACAGTGCATTACCATTCACAGAATTTATGACTAATGCCCTGAAAAGCAAAGATACCGGAATAATGTAAACACAGAAATCACAAAGAATCCATACAAATCCTTTTATGGTTTAAAATATTCCCAAATTAACTTTGACAGGAAAAGCAGTCAAGGTGACCACAGTATTTCAGACAAGCCTGCCCAGAGTGCCCAACAACAATATGGCAAGGGCAGAGCAGAAATGCTGCAGCTAAACTTTACAAGAGATGTACAGATTTGTTAATGTTAGATGAAACAAGCTCATCAATCACTCTTAACCCTAAAATATCCATACAGATGCTTTTAAAAGGCATAGAATTATACTGGGAAAGAATACTTAAAGTGTTGTCAGGATGTCTTTTCTTCCTATCCAAGAAGATGGTCTTGATTTTCAGAGGTTCTGAAACACCTTGAAAATAATGAACACTCACAGAGTTTCATGTGAAAATAGAGACAACCATAACTAGCTATTGACACTTCAGCATTTAGCCAACACATTTATTTGGCAGGATGCAGTACACTAAAAATGATGTGTATCTAATTATGCTTTCATTTCTCATCTCTAGAAAATCATTTTAAGAAGAAGCAAAATACAATGACCACTTCTGTCTTCCCATCTTTCTGTTATAAGCATTTTCCTGTGAGACACAATATTCTACAGTAACTGTTGAGAAACGCCTGGCAAAAATTCTTTGGAGATTCATTTTCCAATGCTCTGAAACAACTTAAAAGTAGGATGAAAACATTGTTCTGGACAGATCCCATGACAAGACATATGGCTCATACCCTCTCATGTCACGTTATATGATCTGATGCAGGAGTGGGTTAGGGGACATTCCCATAGATCTGAGTCACAAAAGTCTTATGACTCAAAGCAAGGGCCAGGGCTGCAATAGAACCTTTCCTTTTCAATCTCTTGTTACAGTGATGTGACTATGTGTCCCAGAGCCACAACTTGAAAAGGAGAAATGGAGAAAATGCAATGTCATACCAAAAATAGGAGACAAAATGATGTCCTGCAGAACTTTTTGGGACGCTGGAACAGTTCAGTCCTGGCCTAGCTAACCCAAGATGCCTGTTCAGCTTAAAAGCATGTGGTTTTATCTATTAAAAAAGAAAAAGTTCCTTTTTCCCAAGGAATTCCTTCCATCTACATCTCAAGTTCTGCTAAAACTGGTAATTTCTTATTGACAGCTGGTATCCCTGATGTGGGAAGGAGAAAAATCTTCCATCTTGAGTTGAGTCAAAGATGATTAAGTCTTCCTGAGTAGAACCTTGTTAAAACTCAGAAGTCAATTACAGCAGATCCACAAAAACTTTCATCAGTTTCCAGACCTCCAACATAGCCCTTGGTAACCAAGGAAGCCCTGAGAAAATGGCCCTTAATGTAGTTTTGATTGGAAAGCGGTTGGTAGTAACTAGCCATGAGGCCACAGGTTGTTTTAAATTAACATCAAATTGGGTTTGCATCCTGAGAACTGACCCTGCTCCAAAACAAAGGAGATGTTAGCCTAAGTGCATCCTGAATTACTTTTGAGAGGAAAGCTCCAACTGTAAATGCAAGTGTGCTCAGAGCAGATGCAGCACCAAGCAAGGCTACATGAGTTACTGCAATTTGCCACAGATATTGGCACAAACCAGGACAAGTAATGAGCCCCTGCAGGGGTAGCAAGTAGGTGTCTTCTTCATGCTTACCTGGAACTTTAGTGAATTTGTGGCTAGGGATGGCAAAGAGCAAGAATTAGGAGCATTAGTCTTTCATGTCTACTCCTTACCACAACGGACTAAATTTTCTGTAGAATTTTGCAGAAACAATCATTTCAGTGAACAGGAACCTACTGCCTTTACATGTCTCCGTTCAAGTGAATCCTCTTCCATAAGAAGCATTTATTTCAACTCTTAATCTGACTAAAGCTTACCTAAGGAGCAGTAGAGTCCAACTTGTTCATACCCTTCACAGCAATCTGTAAGAGTGACGGTTTCAGGGACTTCAACAGCATGATACTGCATTTTATAGTACATCCTGGGACACACCATCCATGGTATCCATCCTCCACAGGAAGTGCTTTTCTCATAGGACTTTTGGTAGGCAACCATTTTAACCACATTTCTGGTCAGACTGTAGTTGCACAGATGGTACCCAAGCAAAGAGAGGCCTTTTTCTAGGGAGTTAAAAAAAAAACACAGGAAAGAAAGGGGTCAGCACTAACTTGTTACCCCAGCGTACAAGTTCCCTGCAGTGTCTAGTTAAAAATACTGTTATGAGAAAGCAGTGACAGAACCTACATAGGTAAATGATTTCCAGTAAGGCTGATGTTAGGAAGAAGATCACTTCAGAAAATGGACAGAAGAAAGAATTAGCAGTGACTGCTTGTCATAGGCATCACTTCAGTCATAAAAAGATGCAGATTGGCATAAAATTCAAAGATCTCTCAGTGTTTTCAGGTGCAAGGCAGAAAAAGAGCAATTTAACTCAAGTACAAAGGAAATTAATGTATATTAATAAAAATTATGCCTAGAGCAGAATAGGCATTTTTAGGGCAGAGTCATCCAAGTACTTTAGATATCCACTCCAGGCTCATGCTGCCAAAATATTCATCTTTCTCAACCAACTATAAAAGGAACAAAGGGCAAGGAACTCATGGGCAGATGAGTCACAGTAGGTGTCTGGAATAAGACATCCTTCAGATACTGTCCTGCTAGGCTAAAACTGGGTACATACATCACTGTAAAGGACTTCCAGGTATCTGACACGAAAGGTATTCCCAAAGCCCCTGTGTTGCCTATCTGCATTTGTAGCAGACCATATCACACCAGGCCCTTTAAGAGCTGCAGTGGTTCATTGACTTCAGTATAAATGAAGTCATTGATAAGTTCATTAACCACATAATTTCATGCAGGTCTGGGAATGGGACTCAGTTTCTGAAGTTCTGAAACCAGTCATGATAAGGAGTGAAATTGTTACACAGAATCATTGAATGGTTTGGGTTGGAAAGGACCTTAAGATCATCTAGTTCCAATCCCCCTGCCATGGGCAGTGATGCCTCACCCTAGACAATGTTGCCTAAGGCATGCTTTACTTAAAACTGAAATACTTGAACAGGAGCAGGAATAAAAAAGAACACAACACAAAGAAACCAAACTACAACAACAGAAACAAAATCAGATGGAATTTAAAAAGTAGAAGTAAGCAACCAACAATCACGTCACAAACATCAGGCTGTCTCTTAATGAGATGCTATAGAAGCCAGAGGGACTGAGTCACGCTGTGTCCCATTTGGGAAATAAATGGGATAGAACTAAAATGCCTCTATCATCCTTTAGACAAAGCAAAAGAAACTTTAATAAGGATAAATATGAATTGGCTGCAGAGATTCAAGTATGGCAGGACTGATACTTCTGAGGCCAGTCAACAGACAGACTGAAGCTAACATAGTATATGCAAGAGGCATACAGTTGAAGTATTTACATCTTATCTTATTTTTACAACTTATCTCCTGCATGAAAAGTTGAAACATATAAAAACAATTCAAGAAAAAAAAAAAGATCATTGTCAAGTTCTTAGGAATTAATATGCTTTCATCATGTTTAGCTGTCCAGCTAAACAAAAGATTTATGCACAATTTGAGCAGGACTGGTGGAAGTTTTGAACAAATGATCCATTTGTAGTGCAAGGACAGTCCAAAGGTAAGTATAGAACAGATATCATAGACCAAAATACATCCCTCGAGCCAGCTGAACTGAGTCACACAAGTGGTCTTCGCCCCTGATCCTAGACACTGCTTCAATAAGAACAGCCTGAAAGACTTCCCGTGCTCCAGATGTTCAAAAGGCCATGAAGAAAACTGGATTTTCTTGGTGAAATTCCCAAATAGAACACGGGCACCTCCCTGTTGACAAGGGCACTTTGGAATTGCACAAGGGAGGAGAGGGGCTGAGACTAACCACAGCCCACCCCCAGCATGAGTAACTCAAATCTGACCAGACCCAGAGAGAGCATCATGCTCCTGGGAGCCCAGCCCTGCTCTGCCTAACCCATCTGTGCCTTTCTCTGGCAGCAAAAGGCAGAGTTGGATGCTGGGGCTTGCTCCAGAGAGCACGTGTGAGAGCAAGAGACCTCCCAGCAGGCTCCAGGGAGCCCTGTGCTGCTGCTTGCATCAGCTCAGCAGGAAAATATTGAGAATAAGAGCATATTTGGAAATCCCACTCTCTGCTTCTTCCTCCTCCCCAGCCTCAAGCAGGGCTTCTCTGTGTCTGGTCCCTGAAGAGACAGCAGCTGAAAGGTCTTCATTCCCCTAAAAAGCACCAGGGCTGTTCTTTGTCCTTAAGGAGAGAGTAAAGGAGATGGTCGTGAAGGGCAGGAAGAAAGACACCCAGCCTGTCTCAAGCTGAGGGACTGAAACTCACGTCTGACCCAGGAGAGGACCCCAATGGCCAGGTTGGAGGTCTGACCAGGACCATGAAAGCCCGTACTCAGCCACGGCACATAAGTGACTATGCAGGAAGAAACTGAAGTTGAGTGAGCCATTGAAAGTAATGTGTCCTCCCTCCCTGGTTAGCACATCCCTCTGGGAGGGGGGAAAAGAGAACAAAAGTGAGCTCTGCAGCAGGAAGCAGAGATCAAGGACTGCTTTTTATCCAGTGCCACTTTGCATCTGGCAGTGGTGCCTCACAAGAAACAGGTAGCTGTCATTGCAGTTTGTAAAGCATTTCCTTGCCGTGTGTTAATAGTGCTCCAGGAATACCTATCCCAGCAAACAGGCATGTAGGCGTGGGAAGAAAAGAAAAAGTATCTCGTTTCAGCTGGGTTTGGGGTTGTTTTTTTTTCCCATTAGTTTGGGACCCAAATTGGTAAATACCCAAAGTGGAATTGAAAGAATACCTAAATCATTTTGGATCTAGCCTTGATCTAGAAGGAGTGCACAGGCATCTGTTAGTGATCAGGGAAGGTGGGAGGCGCAGGTGAAATTTTGTCCTATGAAAATGAGAAAAATAGACTATTGTATTAAGAAATCATACTGTTGTAGTGTAAAATTCTGTTAGGGGAGGGTAGGGCAGGAAAAGAAGAAAAGTTCAGCATGGTTCTTCATTGCTATGATCCCTCCATTTCCCCAGAGCTCACATATTAGTATGGATAGAGCAAAGCAGGGACTGGAAGAGAACAACCGAGTAAGGAGAGCACTGAGGATTCGTGTTGTCCGTGCAGAGCTGAGGCTGCAGCAAGGACATAGTACTGGAAAGCTAAAACTTCCAGTGTCATCTGAGCTGGCTTAGGCTCTGTAGCAATGTGCAACATAAATACAGGTATGAAACTGAGAATAAAATGGTGTAGAATTAGACACAGTTTATAATTAGAAGCTACAGCTGTCAGAGAAGATACGAAATCTTATTTCATACTTAAACACTGATACTAGGTATAGAATGAGGCTGCCAAAGCCAAAAGAGAATGTTTCGGATATGGCTATGGCGGTACAAAAAGTTAGACAGAAGGTGACAGGGAACGGTGCAGCACCACCAACCTCACCATCCTCCATCATTTCCATACACTTTAAAACAAGCTTTGACACTCACAGAGTTCAATTATTTGCTGACAGCAGTTTCCTGCTGAGCAATATGGCTCAGATCAATTTGGGCTCTTTAGCAAATTGGCTTTCTGTTCTCATTACCCCCATCTACAGGATTATGGCACTATCAAATGGAATTAAAATGCACTGAATGTTGTTTCCAGCAACACAAAGCTGAAGTCAATTGCAAAGCAGAAGAACGCAGTCAACTGACATTAGTAGGGCTACATTATGCCTATCATCTCTGGACTTGAGGCTTTTTAATTAGCAACCACGAGCTTTCCACTACCATGAAAAGTATAAATTTTATGTCAAGCAAGAGCACAAACAATTAAAGCAAATACTTTATTAATAGAGACAAATACTGAGAGGAAGGGCTGAAAGAAAAGTCTGCATGGGAGCAGGCTGCTTATAACTGAAGGTCAAACCCAGATCAGAACTGAGAGAGCAATCACAAAAATCAGCAATAAAAAATGCTTGATAAAATTTATGCCACACTTAGCTGCAGTTCTGGAAACCTCAGCACTCAACTGCCAGGAAAGCCACTGTGAGCTGGATCTGTAAAATCTCACGGGGGAACAGCAAGAGCCAAAGACAAGCCCCTTTCTTGTCTTGGCTTAACCTGAAAAGTAATCTTTTGGAGCAGGTTCATAATTCAGTTTTAAAAGGTGAAGGCTCAGAGACATGAAGAAAAATGGATTAAGGGCTCAGTTTTTATGGGTTTTCAAAATTCTTTTCAATGTCAACATCACTGGTTTTAAATGGCACTGGAATGGGGGTTCTGCTGACCCTCAATCTATAGAAACCTCTTTTTCAGCTGTGATTTTGACGGAATAACAGGAAAGTCTCTAAGGTTTGAGAAATATGGTTTGTATTTTAACTGAGACTTGCAAAACCCCTTAAGTAAAAAAATGCAATAAAAAGCAGCCAAAAATCACATCTAAATATTATTTACTTAGAACCAGAAATTAACCAGAAATTAAGAACAAATTAGGATGTAATTTAGCAGTTACAATCTAGCAATTGGGTTTGGGGTTTCCAAATTACAGCCCATACCATAGATGAAAGCGGTCTTCTACACCTTCATTTTATGCATCTCTAGGAATTTGCCAGGTACATTACTACATGATTTCCTCAAGAAGATAATTTTAAAGAGAATTTTCATCAAAATTTGCACATTACTGAACACAAAGATGCAATCCTACTCATTCATTTCTGGCACAAAGGAAATGACAAGGCTTTTGCCTGGGGACAAAGGTGTATTTCGGCTTTGTCGGATTTTCTTTGTTTAATTGTCAGCAGAGGATTCTTAAATAGCCACTGAGATGTTGCCAGTTCTATGGAGACTGGACACCTTGGTTGGTTTATTTCAAATAAAGAGATATCTCACATCCAAACTAAGCCATTCTACATAACAGCCATGGTCCTCTGACCAGGTTTGTGTTACTCACCTGTAATCTCATTCCCCCTTCCCCGTTGTGTGGCTGCCCAGAGGATGAGAACAGAAGTAAGAATGATCCTGGCCATTGCAATGCCTGTTCTAGATAAGCCCTTCTTACCACTTTGTTTCCAGTGTGGTAGAGCTTGACTGTCCGTTCATGGAGGCTTTCGGATTCGGAGAAAGGGTGCTTTGGTTTGTTACCTATTGCAGGTGAGTGATGACTACTGGCAACAGAAACAAAGAGGTTCCGGTGGGAATTTTGCTGGTTCTCTCTCCTTCGTGCTCTCCCCAGGGAACCTGTCTCTTCTGCCTGCTCAGCTTGGATCCCCGCCTCCTGCCTGACTTTGAGAAGAAGGCATTTCAAAATTGCTGGCTTAGTCCATGTTTACCCTTCTGAGCACCTATTCCCTCTTGCACCTTGAACACCCAAAAGCCAGGAGGCAGATTTACATACCTCAGATGTCAGGAGTGTATCTCTTCAATTTCATTTCTGTCCACCCACCAGGAGATGCTATTTGTAGGTCTTGAATTCTGTACCTTGAAAACAAACTAAACGTAAATGCCTGTTGATGTTTTATCCTGAATTTAAGCTGTTTCACTAGCTGCTCTCATTGTGCTCCTCGTATCATTGCAATTTCAGCATCACATAAACCAGAGGAATGATAGGCAAACAAGAACCTTATTAGGCAGGGCACGAATCAGGAGGTTTGAGAAACCCAAATCCCTCTCTTTTCATTGCATAAATAACGAAGGCATGTTCCCAAGACGGATGTGACTGCAGCTTTACAATGCAAGACAGTAACTTCAGTGCAATATCACTTCACTGACGCAAAGAAAAGGAGCAAACACAATGTGGTATTTTATGAGGAGCTGACAATGAAGTATGGAAAATGACAGGTACGCTTCTTGGCGCTGAGGCAACCAGCACTTAAATACGTACTACAGTACTGCAGACAATTTTGTGTGGATGAAAGAGACAGATGTAAGAGAGCTGGAACCACAAACTCTCTCACTCATGTACATTCAGAATACCAATAATATCACTTCTGTAGAACACTGCTGGGCAATCACCGTGTTGGCGCTTACAAGGTAGGGGAGCTGTGGCCCTGGAGAGCATGCAGGACTGACAAGGGAGTTACAGAATGGTTCAGATCCTCTGGCAAAGGGCAGAGCCAATGCTGCATGCAGTGCTGAGGCACTTGTCAGCTGTTCTTCTGGACTGGAAAATAAAACAGTAAGCTTCACTGGGGGGGGGGGGAGGGGAAGGGTAGAGAAAAAAGGAACATTAAGGCTTGCCTGGACTTCTATTGAAAAAAAATGCTTTTGCAGAAAATGGGTAGAGAAGAGCATTTTAAAAAACAAAACAAAACAAAACCAAAAAACCCAGCACATACACACACACTTGAAAAATAGATCTTGAAAATATTTCTCCTATGTCTAAGGAGAATGTGTACCTTAGCACACTTCTCCTCCTGCACCAGGATGTCTAGTCAGGCTGTATCCCCCACGTTGCACCATTTACATCTCCTGTCAGCACAGGGAGGCAACAGGGAGGTCCTGGCTGTAGGCTGTACAGAGGATACCATCTGACCTAAAAACCCCATTAATAAACAAACAAATCAATAGGACTACTGCAGTGAAATTCAACCTGCAAATTGAAATATTTCTCTTTGTGATCTATATTTATTCCTTTCAACAGTCTGAATTTT